TTCGGGCAGATAGTTGAGAACAAATCGTTTAACATGAGTGTATCCGTAAGAGACATCCCCTAGGCTCAATGTTTTGATTTCCCGTAGACTATAAATATATTTATACCTACCGCCTGATGATGCATACAAGTTAGTTGCAAGTATGCAGATTAGCATGAGGCGGAATACGATTTAATTGAGATGTAGTGATTATGAGTTGTTGAAATCAACTAAGCTTATGTGCCGCAATTATAGGTGGTGTTGTGCTGCAAGGTGTCTTCGGCTAGATAAGTCTTTACAAGATGATCAACAGTGAGTGATGCTCATGTGATTATCAGGGAGAACATAAGTTGTAACCAGGCTTGAGTACACCCCCAACTCATGTCTGTGATAATGGCTTGATCCCTAGTCAGTTTTGGGGTAAATTCGACAGTATTTCAGTTTGCAGGAGATTGGCTCGACTGCTTATGCTTATGATTTGCATGCATGATTGTGTCGATCATATTACGTGATTGTCAAGTCTTGACAATGCTTTATGACGATATCGTAAAACCATTATGTTTAACTAGTTAAAGTTTTGATTGAGGAGTAGTCACTTGGTAATGGGTATTGTTGTTTTAGGTGCTTCTGAAATAGCAGAAGTTTGTAGTGTTAAAGAATCCGAGCTGTCTACTAATATTATAGATTTCAATCCAAAAATATTGGTCTAAATACCGTTAATTTTGGTAGTAGGTTCCAGAGTTTTGATTTTAAATGTTTGTTTAGCCAACGGCTGCCTGAGGGTTTAGTTATTATACTAGTACAGTATGCTAGTACCTAAATTCGGTGGATTTATTATCTAAAATGTGTTCTTTTTAGGCTATTACTATGATAGACTAATTTATAAACCCAAATACGTATAACCATAATGACTATAATAGATTTATTGACAAATGTTAAAGGCGAATCATGTGATTTTTAAATTTAAAAGACATAAAGATAATAATCCAACTCTTTTCTATTAGAAAGTATTCTCATGAATGCGAAGGAACTATTACTAAACTAGATGGGAGGATTTTATTCGTTTGCTTTTAGTGTACGCGTCACTCGGGGATTAACTCACATTTCTTTTATCGCAACTAATTAGGAAAACGTTTTAAGCCCATGAAAATGAATGGCGTTTCCTCGTAGACATCATCATACGTGGGCCAGTATAAATGGATAATTAGCAATTCTATCTTAATTTTATAAAAATATTGCTGTTGTTGCGACACAACGTGCTAGCTTATCGTTAATCTTTTCAGTAAAGTTCACGAGCTAAGTCCTGAGACAGTCCATACGAGGTTAATGGTCTCACGTCTACCACACACTGCGATATCATAGAAACTGTCTGAGAATATTTTCCTTTATATATAGATACAAGGATAAGATTGCTAGTATGTAATAATTCAAGATATCTTGAAGTTTGATAGGGCGCTCTCTGAGCTTTAGACAACACTTACGTATCCATAAGCTGTTTGTGAATAATAAAAATATTCAACAAATGATAAGATGTTTTGGTGCTTTGGTTTGAAACAACAAATTTCAGGCATATTGATGCACTGACAAATGAGCCTGCCTGTGGATGGTAGGGACGAGGCTAGAGTAAAGGCTTCTGGTATAAATGAATGTTTCCAGTCTGGATTGAACATATATAGGAAAGCCACCACCATGTCTTTTCAACCTCTCACTTCTGTGTCGACTGTGGCCGTCAAACGATCTGCTTCAATCCGATATATTATTGGGTGTCGATGCATCGGTTGACATAATAAGTGGTGGTTCGTGAAGAGATTTATGCAAGGCTAAACATGTCCCTTTATTAAAGACAAATCGATCGTTGATAGGATGTGCATTAACTAAACAGTACACTAGGTTAAAATAGGTGGGACCACCTGGAATAAGGGAACTTTTTTAGACTTTTGTGTGTGATATGGGGAAGGCAAGGTCTTGGAGATGCTTCGTTAGCCCATTTTGACAGTAACAAGAGTCTGAGTAAGATTCATAAAGTGGATTAGTGGGGTTGCTTTGAGATTTTACTAACCGGGGTTGAATGGGTAAAATTGAGCACCATTGTTTTTCGCGTTATCTGAAACCAAGTGAACTAGATGCCCCACCACTGGTGCTATTAGATCTTGTGTTACAAATGTATCTTGTACTGAATAACTGTCTCGTGCCGATATTCGTGTCATAACATTGTTTACAAAGTTCATGGCTTGAGCTATTACCTACTTACTTACTTACTTACGCCTGCTACTCCCAGTGGAGCATAGGCCGCCGACCAGCATTCTCCATCCCACTCTGTCCTGAATCTTCCTTTCTAGTTCTATCCAATTTCGTTCATTCTTTCATGTCTGTCCCCGTTTCTCGGCGTTATGTGTTCTTTGGTCTTTCTCTTCTCCCTTGGCCTTGAGGATTCCAAGTGAGGGCTTGCCTTGTGATGCAGTTGGGTGCTTTACTCAATGTGTGTCCTATCCACTTCAAGTGCTTCTTGATTTCTTCCTTCGCTGGAATCTGGTTTATTGTCTCATACAGTAGGTTACCGTACTTGGGCCACAGTTTCTCACATTTATGTGCACTTCTTGACGAGCGGTTGTATGTAACTGGATGGTGTTATTTCGTTTTATTCTCTGGAGCCATTTTTATAAGGTGGGATGCATTTGTTTATAACTTAAAACTTTGGTGTGTGAAAGGTGTGTCAATTTGATACTCATCAAGTATTTGTATGTCGATAGATTGACTTTGCTTATACTTATTGTCAGTTTTGTTACTTAGAGAAGTTGAAGGTATATCACAGGGTACCTGAGGGAAGAATCTTCACTGTGGAAAGGAAGCCGTGCAGAAATTATGTTAGGCTTCACTCGGTTCTTTAATAGATATCGGGGATTAGTCTGTGCACGCTTTTGCGCTAGGGCTGGGGAGTGTCATGGTGCATTTGAGTGGTTCTGTGAAATGAAGTTAAGCGCAATCACGACATGTTGCATAATACACTTAGGCGAACCAGATTTGTTTGAGCAGGTTAAACTTGTTGCGTATCAAATGAGTCATATTCAGTTACTTCAGCGTGGGAAAAGAGTGGATTCAAACTGTGGATATATGTATATTTTACTGAAATCTGTTAGTCCGCATCTTATTTGAAGATCTATCCTCTATTGACCTACCTAAGTCCACAGGATTATCTGTCGTTTGTTCATTCACGTCATGCTCACGACAGACATTTTTGATACTATTTACAGTATTAGCGATCGTCTTGAGTTGTTCTTTGTCTACAACATAAAATGGGATCCTGAGAAAAGTATTCACATGGTTGCAAGAACTATTTGTGAGTATAGCACTAGTCGCATATTGACCGGGTTAATGCTAAAGTCAATGATCACTAGTATGATAGGAATTTAAGAGACCGAATAATGTATTTCGGTATGATGACATCGTCTAAGAAAAGCTATCGACCTTTGGTACGGGTTATAAGAAAGAATATAGAACACAAACCACATGACAAAGGTTGCAACTTTCATAGTTATTGAGATGTTTGGCACAAGAAGTCACTACAAAATAAATTATTTTGCACGGTAATTATGGTACATTTATTAGTTTAGTTTTAATAGTTCTGTACTTGCTGTTGATAAACGTACCGTCATATCATTGTAGGGAAATAATTCCATATTTGCCATTAAATATGAGCTCAGGCGAAATCAGGCCGAAAGAATCTGCTGAATATTCGTGGTTCCCACTCTGTAACAGCAATAGTAATTAGAAAGTATGGATTTAGAGGGGTTAGTCAGGCATCTGAATGCAAAGTTCAGAACTAATTTGTGGATACCTGTCCCGACCTATAAATTCTGCCCCTCAAACAAAAGCTAAAATCGTCAGAATCACCACGAATCAGTGAATTACACACAGATTAAGACATTGTAGTGGTATTGGTTCCTAATCATACTATCTTTGAAGTTGAACACGTAATCTTTGAGAAGTTTTACATTCATCACGCAACACTTAAAGAAGATCAGAAAGTAAACGCGAGAATAATTGATCAGTATAGCATAGCTCAACCTTACAGGCGTAGTCATTCTGTGTAGCTCATACCTTTCCACATTGAATATATTATTTTATCCATATCCGAAATGTGTTCTTTAGAAGTACTAAGCATCATAATGCTGATTGTCACTATAGGATGAGTAAGTATAGACAATGATGTGACTTCCACGTAAGGCCTTATAGGTTAGATAGCCACATCATGACGAATCTACAATTTTGGAATTAGGTCTATTATTATAGTAACAAAGATAAATGTACTAATACCAAACTGGACCATTAATTCACAACACCATATCTTGAAAATCCACTAGGAGACTGCATGAGGTGTTGACTATTAACATTAACTATAAACCACTGTAATTTAAAAGTAGACAGAACAGGCCTGGATAGAGGCCATATGACGACAAACGGACCCAGTATTTGGTAACTCATGCTGAGTATAAGTAATTAAGGCTGAGGTGTACTTCCTGCCTCGAGGTACACGCCCATGTGACGGATCGGTGCCTGAAAATGCATCGAGTTTATGGCGAAAAACCAAAACCTGTGGCTTTGAAACACGACGAGTTGTAGGGAGTGTCTTCAGGATCTCCCCTTAAGATAGTTTTATTATACGACATTTAAGTTGTTTACTACCATCCAAATCAAACCTAGGGTAGGATATACAAAAAGCACTCATTAAGGGCTACAAAAAATGACAGCAAGTGATCAAGGTGTCGACTAACGGTAGCGCAACGATTGCCATATAATAACGTACGACATTAAGCCACCTATCAGTAAGACAAAGTGATGCAAGGCATATGAGTACCTCAACACCAAAACTAAAGGGAGAAGCGCTGCGCTCTAAGGCAAAGTTCCTCATATTACTTATGGGAATGGTGTAGAGTGAGATTTGTCTGGGAGTAAAAACGTTTTTCAAAGGTGGAAGTGGCATGATTATTGCTTGGAACTAGACCTCTGTAAGATGCAAGTCAATGTGCATCACAAATGATCCAGAAAAGGCTACAAGGATGCGGTACGTAGGGTTTTAAAGGTCCCGTACTAAGTCAACAACTGAAGACACCACCATAACATCTGGTGATTGTCATAAATACAGAGACACCTAGGATTGTATCTATCAATCACCTAGTTCAATAAGTCTGAAAACAATTAGTCCGGTTCATCTAATAGTCGTAAACCTCAGAAGTTGAGTACCCCAACATAGGCATTCGAAGGACGATACAATACGGAAGCTAAGACATACAAATAACCTTGGTGCGGTTGCAGGTGATGAAGACCCTGACAGAACATGAAGGGGGTAGACCAACGGCCGGTTGTTCTACAGAGTCAACCCTTAAGATTTAAACAACAGCTACGGGACTATAGAAGTAATGGCAGTTACTCTCTGTAATTCGAAAATATGACCACGAACCTTGGAAAGAAAGAACGATAATACTGAAGAAACTGCGATTTTTCTGAAATGTTATTGACAACAGAGTGAGTTCGTATGACAAAAGATTTTATTGGATGAGACAAGGAACATAAACGAAAAATAGGGAAGCATTTCAGTAGTCACTTCGAACTCTGTGTGCTTAATCACATTCCTCTATTTTGAATACTTGCGTTGAGCTGGTACTGCTTTAGTAAAAGGAAGAAACACTTAATGCGATAGAAGCAGGAAACACTAGCCTCCACGTATATTTCGACAGTTGCTTGGGATCAAAAAGTGAAGGAGTGTGAGAGCTGTAAGGAAACAGTAGTCATAGGTGGGGGGGAGGTACGGTTTATAACTCGGCTATCTATAAGAGGAAAAACCCCACACAGTCGGTTGTGTCTTGATCCGATGGTGACATTACCAATATCTTCTGATTGTCGTGTCTATTAAAACTAACGAGGTTAGCGCCGATGTCAACTGTTCACTAAATTCAGCCTTAACGAGTTATGTAGAATCGCAAGACTATTATTAAACTCTTAGTTGGAATGATGACATTAGACGGGAGCAGCAGCTCTTCCACGAGATTTTGATATCTATATGCTGAAAGTAGTAATAAATAATATGGAATGGAGACCTAAAATAGACTGTGATTTTCAAGTGACCGACCGCCCGGAGACGTGACAAGGTTTGGTTACAGTACACCCATTTTTCTGCGACAAAATCACTCACCTGACCTTAAAACGTACCGACTTCGTGTTGCATTCAAAGGGTTCAAATAGCCCCAATGGACGATATGAAAGATTTAAAATCACTTCTTAACCTCAAACTAACTAGTTTACATCATCCCATCACAAAAAATTAGATATTAGATACTTATAGTCAGATCATGGACTTATAACTGCAATGATGAGATTCAGTGTTGACAAATTTGATTATGTGAACAAAATATGAGATAGAGGAAAGTATGAAGTCCTCTTTAGTGAATATCAGGATATGCACAAATCTTGTTTTACCGTGCTAAGCTGCGTGTTACTTTAACACCAGTCGGTGTTTTGGAAGTGTTGGACATGAATCTGTTCAGCTAGGTTAGTCCTTCTGAATTTTGTGAAATGGATATCTCATTTCACCATTGAAGCAGGGATTAATCTTGTTGTTTAATGTTAGTTTTGCTAGTTAGTTCTTGTCCTCAGTATCATGGTGACCACCGTAGATCTACAGTTGCAACGGTACCTTAGCAATGGAAACCATATGTATTGCCGACTGATTTAGGTATGCTTACTACCAGTAATATACATGTCATGTTGTTGGCACGAAAAATTCACAATTAGCCATCAGGAGTTAGACCACACAAAGTTATTTCTTGCTGACCTAGCGTTCTAGAACGCGAGCTCCAATTAAACAAGAATTGGAAATAGAGGCGAACTTTGGGGAAATACGGACGACACTAACTAAGAAAATCTGGTGTCAATTCATGCGATATTAAAACTAAAAATAGCCTTGCTCTCCTACTCTGGGAAATTAATGAGGCTTTTCGCCTAATGTTGGAGCGAAAAATTCATAAGTTCACACATTAGTGATCGTATGACTTCACCAAAACTTCAGATATCACCTACTTACGATATGCGTATTCCAGTCGTGGCTTGAATATTCCAAAGTATTGCCTTTGCTTCCCCATGAAAATGAACTTTAGTGCGCATACAAATTAACGCATAATATCAAATTTATTTCGATAATTGATGTTCAACAGAAATGACTATGGAAGTGATACGTCCCCTAACTGGCAAGTTCTATTGTCATCTGACAAATAAAATGCATCAGATTCAGTGAACAGTATCGATGTTGCAGACGACAGTAATAAAGAAAACGTACATTACAAAATTAATTTATTAAAAAGATGCAAGATAAACACTCAGTTCGGTGTCTTATTAAACAGTATTCCGTCAGTCGCCGTCCTGATCATTATAGACTGTATTCTGAAAAGTTTATCAAACTTCTCCATAACTGCATCTGTAATGAAGATATCCCAATCGCCCGGTGACCATAAATTATAACATGAAGTCGAACTCACAGTAGTGTTGCACAAAATGCTCCGTTATGCGCAGAAGCGCTTTTCCCATGGGAAAATGCGTTACGTCAAATTCCAAGTTGTTGATCATTCTGGACTAGTATGTGCTTGCTTCGTGTCTTATTTGAAATATGCAATGACATAAGTGCAATCTTAGCTACAGTAAACGCATCTAATTACTCGTGGTGCATCTTAGTGAATATAAATTTGTGTATTCAAATACAAGCCACATTTCTAATGAGATCAAAGCCTTTTGTTTGCCTACTCAATGAAGATATGTATTGAAATTCGAACGTGCAGTTGAATTGATGACGGTCGAATTCTTTAGCTCTAAATGCGCATAGTCTGTACTTACCGTGTAGAAATCTGATCACTTCACTAATTGCATCTGTTATTCTAACCTCTACCCCTTCTTGTGCCATGCTAGTCACAGGTCACTTAAAGTAAATGTTCTCTTTTACTCTAGGATCAGTGTTCCAAGCTGCTCTTTCCTCCTACTTATCCTTTTGCTTTTATGACGTCCATTTCTACTACAAGGTTGTGTTAATTGTGCAAATAGCTTACTGTATGTATGCTAGTTGCCTTTTTCAGTTGCTTTGATATGAACAAGGGTACATTTTGAGCACTCTTACACTTAATCCTCTTAAGCGTCGAATATCATTTTGACACTGTAACTAAATAAACACTTATTTAATTTCGTAACTCGCACATACCTGAATTTTCTGTTGTGATATCTAAGTTAATTCGCCATTTATGTAAGGCCACATGTGTTGAAAGTTAACAGTTTTAAAAGTCGTATCCTCACTATGAATATAACGTAATGGAAAATTCATATTTAGCTTCTGAGTACGTTTCTCCGACCTTTTTTTCAACATCGTCTACTTACAAGAGGTAGTCTCGTGATGTATATGGGAAGTTTCACATAATAAACAGATTTTATTGGTACTGATTGTCAAGTCACATTCACAACTAATAAAATCACGACATTCTATTTGCAAATTTCATCTTAGACAGTAAAATAGATGTTATATACAATTAAGTATCTCTTTCAAGGTAGAAAGTGTCTTATTCGCCATAACTTGTTTTTAAAACTAATTGTGTTAAGTGTAGTGTAGCAGATATCTCGCCTACGCCAAAAGTAGTAACACAGGTCGGCGAAATACAGTCGAGCTTTTTGAATCCGTGTCAAGATTTCGGCAGACACCAGCTCATCAGGACTAGAGACTTCCAAGATGGGTGAAGCAGTCGATACATTCAACTAACTCACTTCCTATCATTAATTCAGGCACTGACGTAAGCCAATCCTGAAGCTACATTTTACATTTGGAGGGCAAGTACCGTATCCCAAACATGCTTGGATTGTTGCTTAAGCTGGTCAAGAGACTGCATTTTTTCAGCTTCTTGACCAAACAGAACTGTCTGCTTATTCCAAGACAAGTGAATGTGGTAGATCAGTCCCTGAAGAGTCAGACAGTGTTATCTCTAAAAGCATGTCTATAACAAGGTTAAATAAAAATGAGGAGAGCGGGTAACTTTGATGAATACCACTTAAAGTAACCACTTCCGATGACAGTTTTCCATGAGATCTGATTCGACCAGTAGTAGTAGTGTTCGTGTTCAGAGCATGTACAAGTTTAACGTATCTCGGTACGCCTTTCAATGACAGATACTACCACAGAAACTCACGATCAATGGGGTTGAGCGCTGTCTTAATGTCAGGGAATATAACTATAGTCAGTTGTACGTTAAAAGGTATGTCTATTCCAGAATCTGCCGAAGGGTGAATGTTTGGTCTATACAAACACGTCCAGGCTTGGAACCAGCCTGGTTTTCTCGGGTTTGCTCCATTTAGGCATTGAAGTATTAATGAGGTTAGTATTTTAGATATAGTAGTCAAACTAATTCCTCTGTAGTTGTCACAAGAGGGGTTTTATTTTTTTCTTATCGATTGGGATGATCAGCTATTGATACCACTCATGGTTAACTTACTCCTTATCTAGTTGTCTCTAAAATATATTATTGACTTTTCCATCATTATATTGAACTCCAAGGAATTTTCTTGCTGTGGCAACAATGCTAGGATTTTTGGTATGCTTTTCTTTCCGTCTAAATGCAAATTGTTGCTTCAGAACTGGTCCCTGTCAACGCTTGAACTAAGGATAGGGAGTGAAGTAGTCGAACGCGTCGACAACTTCACTTATCTTGGAAATGTCCGTAAGTATGGTATGTGCTTTGCACCTTCGAAGTGCAAAGTACTTCTACAAGACTGGCAGGATTCCAATCCTGTACTCACCCTGGATGGTGAGCAGATAGACGTAGTCGAGAAGTTCGTGTATCTGGGTAGCTGCATAAGTGCTGGTGGGGGTGTGAGTGGTGAGATCAATGCACGTATAGTGAAAGCCAGAGCGGCTTATGCCAATCTGGGCCACCTTTGGCGCCTTCGTGATGTTAGTCTGGCTGTAAAAGGTCGGATTTACAACGCGTCGGTGAGAGCAGTCTTGCTCTATGCTTGTGAAACTTGTCCTCTCCAAGTTGAGGACGTTAGAAGACTCTCTGTGTTCGATCATCGCTGTCTCCGAAGAATTGCTGACATCCAGTGGCAACACCATGTCAGTAGTGCAGAGGTTCGACATCGTGTGTTCGGGCACAGAGATGATAATGCAATCGATGTCACCATCTTGAAACACCTACTTCGGTGGCTTGGACATGTTCTACGAATGTCGTCCCAGAGAATTCCGCGTCGTGCATTATTTGCCGACTCTGGGACTGGTTGGAAAAAGCGGAGAGGTGGTCAGTGCATGACATGATGTCGTGGTATGAAAGAAAGCTGCAAAGGACTGGCTTCTGTTGGTCCTTCACGACTCCCTGGTTGGGGTCTGAGAGATGGTGTTGTCAGATATGGCTCAGAATAGAAGCCAGTGGCGATCCTGCTGTAACCTTCTTTTACTTTCTTCATAAAAAAAGTTGTTGTGTCTCCCTTAACTGAAAGATTTCTTCTGATTGTACCTTTCCGTCCCCTCATTATTACTATTATTATTACTACACTACCTTACACCAACCTCTTCGTTATTGTTCCTTTTTTTCACGCTCCTTATCTTTTTTTTCTTTCTCTTCAGATTCTCATTGTTTTATGTGGTGCATATATATTGGCGCTCTCTTGTACCAATATTTATGTGTTCAAATAATAATAATCTTGGAAGTCTGATCAACCCTAATGGGTTGGTGTCTGACGAAATCTCTGTACGGATTTAAAAAGCTCGTTTGGCTTCTGCCAAATTACGTCACCTATGGCGAAGGCGAGATATGGCCACGCGTATACAGCCGCTTTCAGGAAGTCCTACTCACTGCTTTTCGTGGCAGGGATGTTGCTTATGAATTTGAGAGGACGAGAAGCGGGTTGGTAAATACGGAGGACACATCTAGTGGAGTTTGAAGACCCTGATTCCAAACCAATGGTGCACATGGGCTCTAGTATTCTGAGGGAACAAATGGCGTATGAACCCATTATTGGTCACCGGCTACCATGGGACCGCATCTCCTTACGTTTCCCCACTGCCTTGTGGATCAGACCTTTGGTCAATGGCTCCGGGTGTGGCTCCCAAAGAAAACCACCTGCTTCGATTTGGGCACCCAGACAGTATCATAGCTCACACACTAATCGAGGGGCTTGTGTGGCGCATATGTATTCGGTGCCCCTTTGTACCAATATTTATGTGATTAAATAAATAATAAATAAAAGTGTTTGCTCACGGATGTCTTAGAAAACACTGCCAGCATCTGCTGGGATCACCGGGTAAGCAATAGTGAGGTTAGACACAGAGTATTAGGGAATGATGGTAAATCAGTCGATGGGGTTGTGAATCTTCACCGACTAAGATGGTCGGGCCATATATTACGCATGCCTAACCACCGATTACCAATGGTGACTAGTGTTGAAGACGGTTGGAAGAACGTTAGGGGCGGTCAAACCAAAACGTTGCATCAGTCCATAAAATCACTAACTTCTAATCCGAGCCATTTTGGTAGATGCAGACTACTTAGTTGGGGTCCACGTGATTATTGTAACCTGTGGTTGGAGACTGGGTGACGGCTCAGAACCGGTCACAGTGGTGTAGGTGCATACACTCTTTGTCTTCCCTTACCTTTCTAAGAATCAATCCTTTCTCCCTGTATTATGTTCTTATATGCAATCTTTCTTTTGTATATTATTACCATTGAAGTAACTGCTTCTAAGAATTCGGTGTTCATCTTGTTGTGCTGATGAGGTATGGCAGCGTAGACTGATACATATATGTGCCTGGTCCTATATTGTAGATGACTGACTGATTGAAGTAAGTTTACGGATTTGACTAGGTTAACCTAACTTAAAGTGACACTAGTTATAAAGACTCCTATGATCTTTAGTCCATTCAGTTATAATTCAAGTTTATTTTCGTGCAGCAATGCGCTTTATGCATGTAGGTTCTCAACGTAGTTACCCGACTGTTAGTTCCCGTTCCTGGTGTCAAAATGTCACCTTATCCAAACACTTGTTTATGCTAAACATTTCTCTCCTAATTTGAGCGTAGGTGATTATACAGAATGGTACATATTCTTACCAATTTGTAGGTTCTGCATGTATATTAATGCATAAGAAACCTGTTTAAACCGTTATCTTTTCTTTAAAAATGGCATTTGTATTTATGACTGTTTAAAGTCGGAAATAAGAACTAACTCCTAATATCTGATGAATAACTTTTCGGCTATATATCCTAGTCGTAACTTTGTGCCTGTTTATCCATATATAACTGACATTAGAATTTTTTCGGTTACTTAAACAGCAAGTTGAAAAGGCTGATCACATCAGAATATTTACCAAATATTATAAACACAATAAAGTTGTATGTGAATAGCTGAATACTGATACTTTTAATAACATTAAATAATTCTTCCTCTTGACCTACACAAACTACGCCTAGTATTTATTACGATATTCGTAGTTGAGATTTGTAGTTATCAGTAACGTCAATATCTGGTGTAAGCTTAATTCGTACAATTAAAGTTTTTCTACTTATATTTCCTATTAAGATTGTTTTTGGTATACATACACTCAAGCAAAATAATTTAAAATTCACAGTTGCTGGTGCTAAAACAACTCAACTTTTCATTATCATTCAGCAGTGTAACTACCAGGTTTTATTTAATTTACTTTCTCAGAGTTATAGTGTGTAGGAGTTCTTTCAAGTTGCCGGCTGTTTTTTATTGATTTCCCAATTATTACTAGACTATTTGCGGCCGTTTTGTCTGGTATTAAGTTGAGATTTTCTTATATTTACTGATGACGAAAGTGGAGTTTCGATGGTTCATCTTCCATTAGATACGGGTTCAATAGATTTCCTATAGACTTGTAGAGCAGAAAAGTTGTAGTTTAAACTCATTACAATCTTGTATTCGAAGGACTGTTAAACTAACATGAATTATTGATTATTAACATGCCTCTATATTCAGTTCATGAGGTTTTAATCAATTGGTTAGATAATACAACGTTCATTGTGTAACCCTAAGACTGACTGCTATATTTGGAGAGATTACGAGTTCTAAATTTGCGAACGGAACGAAGACTCAGAGACACGACCCAAAAGCTAACTATAATATACAGTGATCCAAGCGACTTTCAAGCTCTTTACATATGTTTTATACCATAGAGTGGATCATGGTGGATGTTCCCTTACTAACTCATATATCTGAAACTACAGACTGCAGCTCATCTTCCTGCCAGGCATCATCTGCTTCAGACGATTCTGTTCCTGAAGGCTATTTAATCTTGACATTCGATAAAAAGAAGAAAGCTGTTTTTAAAAACCGCTGTGTTTGCAGATGTTTCGGATCCTAGATTTGCAGATGAGTGAGTCATTTGAAGTAAACTTTTTTTATCATTTACCAAATTTAGCCATCTTGTCATTTAGTGTAAAAACGTCAGTAGTTAATTTTGCGAACTATGTAGATGATTCATTTTATGAATCTAGGTCAGTCCTTAATCTATTGTTTACATAGCATCCGTTTTCTAATCTGGTTAATACAGGCTAAACTGTCGAATGCTAATAATCATATAATATGTCAGTATGACGTACTCATGTTTAAGCAGTATACCTTTTAACCAATATGCTATGGGTTCGATACCCACTTCACCCGTTGAGATGTAGGAAGTGAATGCCATATTCTGGTCAATATCAATCCATCATTTACAATATTTGGACAGACTTGAAAGTGGTTATTGATTTACATGTAACTATTTGTTTATTTAGTGACTTCAAAAAGTGTAAGGTAGGCGATATCGTACTAGTTAATTTGAGCTGGAAATGATTCATAGACCTTTTCATAAATACTTGCAAAAGGCACAAATATAACTGACTATAAAGTTAATAAAGATAATCTAAATGTCTCTACAGTAATACTGAAAAATTTTCCTAACCTTTTAGCTACTTGAGTGTACAGTTATCAAAGTAATAGTTTTTACTTGCCTAAGAACTTCGCTCAAATATGTATCATCATTATGATCTTGCGATTTTTCGAGTTTGTGAGGAAACAAGTCATTATTTAGTATTTAATATATGAGCTCAATGTGGTTAACTGTTTCGACTATCCAAATCAACAACCATAAATGTCAAGAGTTATAAAGCGCTAAAAATGAAAATGCTGATAGTGTTATTTTTAAAGCTGAACATAGGAATGAAGTACATGGATCCCTATAGTCTATCATAGAGCATTCAAGCTATCATATAATACTACTATCAATCAGTTGTAAACAACGAATTATAAGCTGTTACACTTCATATTCATAGGGCTAGAGGAGATTAATAAAGGTGAAAGCCAAAGAGTGAAAACAGCAACGGTAGTTAAAGACTAAACAGCTAATGTAGTTAAAAAGGAATAGATGAAATCGAGTTTAGGAATTGTGAGACAATAATTAAGCGATGTATAAAAGTTGAGGATTGGATGAATCTACACTGACTGGTGTGAACCACCTCATTTAGGGTTTCCGAGCTTATTTCACCATTTCCTTCCGAAATCCAGTCATCAAATTTAATCTGGCTGTAAAAACTTAAACGACAACCGATGACTTCGTGTATTTATGACACGTCTTGGTTCCTTCCATAATGCACCAGGGTACATGGTTGTTGGATATGTGTAAAATATACTCAAGTTTACTTAGCTAATGAACACTTAAAATCTTATCAAGATTTCCCCATACTTATTAACTGTCATACATTTACAAGCTATTTGGTCCAACCTACATTGGTTTTTGACATATCTAAACACTTAATAGTCGCGCGCTTATAATCTCTTTAATCAATTTTCCATCATGTGTCTCAGTATCTCTCATTGGATAATTCTTTATGCCTCGACGAATATATATGAAACGCTTGCCATTGAAACATCAGCATATTATTCAACTATAGTAATCACGTTGTGGTAGTGGATGAATTGATATTCACTCGATTTTAAGTAGCTAACTGTATATCACATTTCAGTGTATAATGGTGTATTTAAGCTAGCGCTGACTCAACATATTGCATACATATCAGGATTTGCTTATCATTGACTGGATCATAATAGTTGGTGTAAATAATAAACTAGGTTGAGAATAAAACTTTTTGTCACTGCTTGTCTCCGATTCGGAACAACGTTCTTAATCTGACGAATCAAAATCAATATCCTACCCAATCGTTTTACGGGCGTCAGAAAAATGGAGCATTGATACGTACCATATTTGCCCAATGTCTTTTTATGTGTCAATAATCTACTCTTAAAAGCATCCACTAAAATCACTCTTTTAATTCAGAAAGCTCATCGGGTTGTAATCTTATATGTTCAGTATATGGCTTCTATTTTGAAGTCCCACGATAACACGTTTCTCACAATCGTTTAACGCTAGCCTTTGACTAAAACGACTTATTTTATTGTAAATTCTCAATCCATTTATTTAAAATATTATGGTTATTTGGCGTTAATTGACAATTTGTAACTGCAGATGCGTCCAATTATTTCTTTTCCAAGTTATGAAGATGATGATGAAGATGAAAGTAATGATAACTGTTGGCCACTTCATGAGTCCAAGTTAGCTGTTCACCAACAGGAAAATGATGGCGTACTTGAAAATGAAGTTAATGATGCCAAAGGCTTTTTGTCGAAACCTCTTGTTATTTCTACGGATGCAGCTGACAAAACTTCCTCTTCATCTTATACTTCATGTTACGGCGAAGCCTTTTGGGTTGGTGAAGATGAGCTAAACGTAAAACAAAATACTACAAGTTCTTGGGATCTATCGCCTGGTAACAAAGTATCTCAAAGTTTAATACGCACTAGTCCTTTGACGTGTGATACTCATTCAGTAACTCCGACTTCAACTTTACAGTCATCTACTGAAAGCTGGTCTTTGAGCACACCTCAGTCAACAATAACTCGACTAACCGGCACTTTCCCTTATCGCAAAGCTACATATCCCATTAATCATCTTGCCAGAAAATACAACCATAACACGTTTTCATCTCACTTCCAGCCTAAATGGCCTAGAGCATTTAATGTCCATTTAGGTGATCATTCCAAAAAGATGCTCAGGTGTGACCAATGTGGCAAATATTACCGTAATGATTATAGCCTACATCATCATATTTGCTTAAAGCGCAAAGATGTGTGGAAGAAAGGTGATGTGCCTTCTGAAATGATTGATGGTCAAGTTATGTATTTCTGTCCCAGTTGCCGTAAGCCTTTTAAATGGCTTGGTAACCTTACACGACATTTCTATGTGCATACAGGTCAAAGATTCTTTCGGTGTGATATTTGTTCTAAAGAATTTTTCTCTGCTTACCAAGTTAAAAGACATATGAATTCACATACAGGTGTCCGTTTCAAATGTGAAGTATGTGACAAACCTTTTACATGTAAATACGCCTGTGCTTGGCATACTAGACAACATTATGCTTACTCATTAAAATAATAAATTTTAAGAATTTCTCTCTCATTCTTCCAAATGAATTTTTAGCAACGAATATATACATACCTACACTTTGCTTTTTTACGTTTCAATGAGAGATATTCAAAAATACACCTTGCACAATGATTTATTTTTTTACTAATAAAATTTCAATATTAGCCAATGTTTTTAATATCTTTCTTGTATTCAATATATATTATATCACATTAATAATTCACGTGCCTTAAGTTACGCTACATAATGCTCGCGACCAGCGTCTTGGATATTTTGATAACTTGTGAGTATATTTATTGATAATATACACTTACATCACACTTTCTAATCAACTGAGAGATTGCTCAATTCCCTCATGGTGTGTTTGTTACATCTCACTGATATTTAATTAAAACAGTATTCTTTTATATTATAATTTTGTCTCTTAAAACTGTGGCGGGTAATAAATACAAATACTGTGCTGTGACGAAGAAAACCTGTTTGCACCTCTTACTAGCCATTATAATAAACACAATCGTTGAGTATTTCTTTGTTTTTGTAACTATTTTTTTATATACATGTTTACACTGTTTTTGATAGAGTATCGTATTATGCAACAAAAAAAAGTGAACAAACAAACAGTCTGACATAGGTGACCCCTCGTCAACACCTGTTCTTCCAAATATTCCTATCTCCTCTATCATTATTACCTACTTTGGAATCTGTTGTGCCTTGCTTTATTCGGTTACAGTAGCTGTTTGCCTCTTTGTATGCACTTGGTTTTATATATATTGCCTTTTTTCCTAATTATTATTATTATCATTATTACCATTTATTATTAACAATATAAATTCAAGAATTTTTTGTAGAAATTGGTGATTATTTTTTGCTTGGTTTCTTATTGTTATTCTGACAATTTTAATGAAAATAAAGTTTTTTTTTTAAAAAGAAAGTGCACTCGTAACTGTTTTATGTGTAGTTAACATGTTTTATCTTGTTGTCTTCTTTCTATCCATCAAACTAACATTTTGAATATAAGTTGGTTATGTATAAAGATGCCATCTGTTGTTGATATAGAAAACAAGGTCAATGTAGAATAAGTCAAACTTCAATATAACGGAGGAGAATATACGGTGATAATTATAACGATAATAGTGATATCATGTACAGCAGCTCTTTCTGCTTCTAGCCCCTCCCGTCAGCTATTCTGAAGACGATTTATTGAACGAAACCAAAGCAGAATAAATTTACATCCAAGCTAATTCAATTACATATTGATTCAGTGATTGTTCGTCACAGAGTTTTATTAACTGAGCGATTGTCAATGAATACGAATTTATGGTGAAATAATGCAGGGAAAATGCATTGAGAATCAATGGATTAAATACAGTGGAAGGTAAACAGTAAAATACGCTAAAAGTTGACTGAGCAAAGATCACTCCAAATTGATATACAAAATTGAGATTGATTTTTCCTCTAGTACATAGTGTGTCGGAGGTATGTCTTCAACGTCATCCTCTGTAGCGTAGGAGCGCGCGATTTCAAACCGTTACTTGTTATATTCAAACACAAAAATGTGGAAAATAGACTCGAATTTCTCTATGATTTTTAGTTTGGTATTAGCGTAACACTTGCTCACTCATCACTAGTGCACCATAAAATGGCTGTTTACCGAGGTCCTAGATCCTAGAAAAGTGAATATGAGTTAGTTTAATAAGTGAATACTTAACTTCAGTAGTCATATTGTGATGCTGACCCATCTTCATAAACTCGTGTTTTCATTTACTGTAACTGCTTTTATGATAACTAAATCTACTATAAACTTGGGAATATTTTTAACGTTTTTGTTAATGGATAGATACCCTTAAATATCGGTCTTTCAACTTATATATTCAATTCGAAAGTGTACCACCCGAGATACCTCAAAACAGCAACTAATAACTGGTTTCGTGTTCTTATGGTACACATTTGTTCGGTCAGGTCTAGTCTTCTCCCAAATTCTATTCCTCTGTTAGCAGGTGTAGTGTTCCAGCGTTAACGGTTGGTTATTCAATATACCTAACGTGCAACTCATTCTTCTTAATTGATAAAACTTCACAGGCTCTTCAATCGATTTCAACTTTCTTCTTTCTATAATTCGTTAGTTATGTCCTTAAATAAATGATATGACCAATCAGATTTTACTTAGAACACCCACTCCTTTTGACTCAGTTGACATTGGTGTGTGGCCTGTCTTTTTTCGCACGTTAACTACAAATCGATTAAACATGCAAACAAGCAAATTTCTGGCTGTTTTGTGTAGAATTCTAATGTTTGTTTCAGCAACGAGACTAAAAAGTCGACTTGAGCGTCAAGTCTTGATGTATGGTTTATAATTAATTTATGAGTAGTATGGAAAAGTGCTACCGTCTCCGAATTTTTTCCAATAGTATTTTCGACAATAAAAAATTTAAGGCATAGACGATATAATTCGAGAGGATATGGATCGGGATAAGAGAATTTTGTAAAGTTAGGAGACTTATAATATAAGAGAATACAAAGATTGAATACATCTGCTCCATTGCGACCAATTCTAGATCATGTTACCTTTGAACCTTGGTGACTACGATAGTCGCGCGGAGCCTAATCAGGTAGTCTGCAACCACCTATGTGGCTCAGTCCAATTTTCGATGACTTCATGAACTGGTCCAGCGTCTTGGTTTGACTAGTTTTCTTCCAACCCACTATACCAGACAATACCCCCCTCGAAGTAGGCGGTAGTTGGGCATATGTAATAAATGTCTCAACCACCTCAGTGATGAAGATTTACTGCCATCCTTATCCAATGCCCTATGTCCGACCACAGGACTATTCATTCAGATCCATTCAGATTCATGTGTTCAACTTTGAGTCATCTTTATGTGAGAGCTCGGGGAATTATAGGGCTCTCAGAAGAAGGTGGAGCGGAGTTCGTATATGCGACCTAATCATTGAAGGTTAAGTGGTCTAAGGACTAATTCGCCACTCCTTACAAGTGGCGTAGAAAACATTCAAAATAATTGCTAGAATGCATTTTGTACGAAGCTGTTCGAATAGAACAATCATATTACAGTCTATGTTAAAATATGCCCCACATTCAATTTCATTTGTATTTGTTGAAAAAGCCGAAATTCGAAAAGTATGGAAGATGCATAAAGGAGCAGAAAAATATAGAGTATAATGCATGAATATGGAAATCAACTATAGGGTAGGATAGCTGAAATAAGAGTCACTCAGTTTTTATAGTCAAATAAAATATTTAATATGCATAGATGCATACATAGTAACAGGCGCACATAAAATCTGGAAAAAGTAGTTTATACGGATGAATAAATACGCGAAAATAGGTATACAATATCACGAAATACTTAGTCGAGTTAGACCAACACATTTACTGGTCAGGCCAAAAAAATGGATAGAGGTGTGATGAAGGTTGTTACAGTATCTACCAATCGCAAAGAATTAATCCAAACACTGAAGTTGAACATAATCTACATGTAGCAGCATTATCATCTTACAGTGTAGACACTCGAGAAATATCAACCATTCATATACCAATAATAGCATTCGAACAATCAATGTATACAATAAAGCTTCCTCTTTCTAAAATTTTCTCCTATTCCTAATACCGATTATTCTTCTATCACTCGAGTACATAAATATGTACTTTTGGTGAATGAGTTATTTATTATCATACAAGTATGAAATAACTAAGCAATACTTTCTTGTGTATAACAGTTTCTCAGTTAATATTATTCAGTTGTTATAGAGTCAAGAATATGTTCATTGATTGAAAAGCAAATGAATCATGTGTAAGGCAAATACAGTGAGTGTTGAATAATTTTAAATATACCTTCCCTATTCATGATGTGTGTCTAGTAGTGTTTCATCAACTGGAAATATTTAGATATATTTAAGAATACTGTTTAATCTTATATGTAACGTGTGAAATAATCAGTATTAATTTATAAACGTTCATGCAAAAAGGGAAGTTACCTAACTACGAGTTACATATGTATTATAAGTCGTTTTTGTTGTTGTTGTTGTTGTTGTTGTAATAACTGATCATTTCTATCTGTCTCTTTGGCAGTAAAAAGAACCAGATAAAATAATAACACATTTAAACATTAATTATTAAATTATTAAAATCATAGTGTTTTCCAAGAATAGTATCATAATAAAGACTCGAACTGACAATGTCTATAATTAGTCTTATTGATAGAATTGCATTGAATTTTTATCGTTAGTTAACATTATAAGTATCAGAAGGGGTTTTGTGGAGATTGTAGTAATTTAAACAGTTGAGATCATGAGTCAATTGAAGTTAGACCACCATGGAAAACCTGGAAGCACTGGACGACCGTCTCGTTCTATTGTGGGACTCCTCAGCAGTGCGCATCCACGACCCCGCCTCGCGGGGTTCGAACCCAGGACCTCTCAGTCTCGCGCCAAGCACTTAACCAACTAGACCACTGAGCCCCTTCTGATACTAATCAACATATGCTCACTAGTGACTGGCTTCAAGATATATATCGTGGAGCTCTAATGAGAAGCAGTGACCAGTGGAGTTCAACCGGATCAGTTGTGATGTAGTAACTCACTGATGACAATGGTGGATGTGTCGCTCAATTTCGTGGATTAGTTGAAGTTAACATTAACAGCGTCGGATGCCGGCTCAGTGGTTCAGTTGGTTGAGCGCTTGGCACGAGGTTGGTGGGTCCTGGGTTCGGATCCCACGAGGCGGGGTCGTGGATGCGCACTGCCGAGGAGTCCCACAATAGGACGAGACGGCCGTCCGGTGCTTCCGGGTTTTCCATGGTGGTCTAGCTTCAACTGACTCATGATCTCAACTGTTTAAATTAACATTATAATCTTGTTCCTATCTTAGGATTTACTTCTATGAACAATCATTATATGAGGGTTATGAATTGAGCGGATCCCTTATTGAATGAATGCAAAAGTAATATTTACATTGTAAAAATGGTGACTATTAAAAAAAAGCTTTAGAATTATCATTACATAAAATATAGTAGGGATATAAGTAATATTTATATATCATCGAATCTATTCGGTAAAAGATGTGAATGATTTCAATCTGGATAAAATTTCATTGAATGTAGGTCTATTAATTGGTTCGAATTCCCAACACATATTCATAAGTGTTAACCTAAGAGAACAAAAAACATTAAAAAAACTTAATTATATGTACCAAGTATTCGTGATGAAAAGTTATGATTAACAGTCATCACTTCAAAGTTCACTCTGTTATTTACAAGCTATATATATATAAGAAAAAAACCCAGTAAAATCTGAATGCAATTGTTATAACGCTCGGTTTTACTTTGTCTAATGTTATAACGGTTGGGTTCCCACGTTTCCACATATTGGATGTTAATTTACCTTAAGCGAATATCTACACTAGATTCCCTCCCTGTGTCTATTCTACAGGATGTTGATACAATTCAGATCAAGAACACGTGATTAGCCTGACCACAACGTTATGTATTTCCACACCAAAACCCGATACAATTCAACAACAATCAATAATAAGTGAGTCAGTATAATAATAAGGATAGGGGAATATATAACTAATCTGATACCTGTCAGACTATCTAAATGTCTGATTAAGCAGACAACCAATCATTATCATTCTTGCCCATACATCAGTAATTTCATTACAACCTCATTAGGAAGATTATAAAAATGAGATCTATCAAAATTTGTATATTAAACATTATATTACTGTTAAGTAGTTTACATAATTTATGCAAAATTACTTATTCTACTCAAATCGATTTTTGTTATATTATCAGAGGAGGAAAATTTGTGAAATATTAGTTACTGAATTCTAACTTAATGACTAGAAATATTACTCTCAACGAAAGAAAAAAAATAAGAAGTCTTGGGTTAGAGTATTTTATAAACAATTTCAAAGAGTTGCAAACTGTAACCATCTACCTAACTACTCATCTCCTATCGATTTTGTTAATTCATCAAGATGAAAGATATTACAATATTGTTAAATAATTAGTAATGATTTCTTTTGTTTATCTATCTGAATTTTTTCTTCTTCAGTTATGAATTTATATACCCTGCCATATTTGACATTTCAAAATATATTGAAAACTAACTATGTTATTGGCACTAATCTTGAATATTGAATAAATAATACTTTAGATGTACCATTTTTGTTTTTCTTTTCTTACATTCAATCATAGCTAATTATTTTTATTTTCCTTCAGAAATTTACTATTCATGTTTTCAATTTATTAATTGAACAAGTTTTTCTTGTGTGTTGAAAACTAACTTATTATTTCCTAAAGACGTGAATGTTTAATATAAAGATATAATGTAGGTCCAGCTCTCACTGCCTTCTCGTGGTGGGGATATCGTTTACGAAATTGAGAAGACGAAAAGCGCATGTCTGGCGGTTCAACCAGGTCAGTGTACACAGAGAGTCCACCTAGGGAAATGGAAAACCCTAATTCTAAACCAATGGTGCACACGGGCTCCAGGATCCTGAAGGAACAAATGGCGTATGAACTAATCGTTGGTCACCAGCTATCATGGGACTGCAACTCCCTATGTTGCTCCACTGCCTTGTAGATCAGACCTTTAGGTCGAAGGCTCCGGGTGTGGCCTCTCACAAGAAAACCTCCTACTTTGGTTTGGGCACCCGTACAATATCGTAGCCCACACATAAATGAAGTGACTTGTGTGGCGCATATGTAGTCGGTGCCCCTTTGTACCAATCTTTATGTGTTCAAATAGATAAATAAATAAATACTGTAGGTGAAAAAGGAATATTTCGTTTAGTAACACGTAAAAAAATTTAATATCAAACTTACAAAATATCAGGTAATTTTGTTGTAAATTCCGGTAGATTTAAATGTCCACCTTCACATACGAATTTCATAACTTCTTCATGTGATAAACCGGGATATGGTAAAGAGGCAAATGTAGCTATTTCCCATAATACAACACCATATGACCTTTTTTTCACATGATCATTAGAGGAAAAGAAACATGCATACAATATTAAGTGTAATTCATTTTATCAATATAAAAACTGGATAACAAAGTACAGTTTATCAAACATAAAAACACGTTTAAATAAGGTCTCAAATTAAATTCGATTGTTTTACAAAAGCAATAAAAGATTAGTGACAGTATTTCAGTGAAGTTAAATACTCTGCAAACGATAATTTGTCCATCTCATTGTCCTTTTAAATGATATTGTCAACAAAAGTTTGATAAAAAAATGACTGAGGTTTGAGAATTTCTTTACAAGTGATCTAGATTTTGCTAGTACTGATAATGATGTCTACAGTAACAAAGCAGTTTTGAAAATTCGACAATAATTTGCATAGAGGAAAAAAAATAAACAACTTCATTAAAAACATTCAGGTGAATTAAAAATCTTTTTCACTATTTCAAAAGCATACACGAATACTGACACACTTCTTGTCGTTCATAATTTTACTGTGGTATTCAGAAGATTGTCGAGACTTTATAACTGGTGATCAGTGAAAAAATTGACTGGTAAGTTAGATTATGAAGATGGTAAAGAGGAATATGTATTTAATAAGGTATTCTAACGATGGTATCTCCTAAGATAAAATCTACTAATGTTTTCAAAGAAAATAACTCATATACCCATACAGATTGATAGTACCCGATAAACAGTCGTAATTATATGTTAAACTCAGCACTGACTTCATTATAACATAACTAAGAAACGGATTACTATTACAAAGATACATTCGAACGAACTATTCTATTATTTTTCAAATCTTTAAATGATTGAATATTGGACTTAACACAAACGGCTTATACTCTCAAGACAAATTATAATGTTAATATGATAGATGTAAAGATCAATTCGGATTTAGTTCATAGATATGTAACTTAATATCGTATGTTCTATTTATTATCCGGGCATAATAATAATAGTAATAATAATGTGGTCACCAATGACTAGCTTTCAGAGTTAATTCCTGGAGTTCTAGTAAGAAGCCATCTCATGTTTCAGGCAGTCACTCAGCAAAAGCACTGGAAGATCGCTGTACAATATTGCGAATTGAATGAAGATAGATAAGTAAAATATCGGATGGCTGTTCAGTGATCTAAATGTTAAGCTATGGCCATGAAACCTGAAGGTTTTAGGGTTGAATCCTCTGTGGGATTATAAGTACATACTGCTTAGGATTCCTATAAAAGGGAAAAACAGCTGTCCGATAATTCTTTATTTTCAGTGGTTGTCTAACTTGAGATCACTTCGTAGTGTAAATTATGAAATTCGGAAGAAATTTGAAACATAATGGAACTGAGAAATGCAGGACTATATTATGTAAATATTTATTACACTAACAACACTGGAAATGTTTTGTACTCTTTTTATCAATATATTCTGTTATTGTAGATATATCTAAAATAATACCAACCATGTGATCATATGACATTAAGTGATATCTTTATACATTCTTAAGATAGAAAATTATATTAAAACGCAATTGTATGAACGAAGAATATTCTTTTCAATAATTTCTCATCAGGTTCTACAATTATCTTATATCCAAATTAATAATCCATAAAATTGGACAGATTTAAGGCAGAGTACATCATTTGGAAATTGTAATATGTGAATTTAGAATTGTTGTTTGTTATATGAAATCAATTCAGATCGTTAATGTTGAACATTCGGTCTCGTGAGCACCTCCCCGTGTGGTTAAGCAAAGGTTTAGTCAAAACTGTTAACAGCTCCATCGCAGACCATCTAGGTCAAACAGGACATACAGCCAACATAGAGCAATCTTTTGCAATAGTCTATCGTGTTAACAACAGTCTACCTAATTCCGTCAGACTGCGAATCCTACAGCCGGCTGAAGCAATTGCTATTCGGATAAAAAAGCCAGAGCTTTGCATCCAAAAGAAGTATGTTCAGCCACTCCTTTTACCCTGGTCAACTTTGAGGCCAACTAGTTAATAATTAATTTAATAATATGGTGACGTAATCCACTGTGATTATCACCTTTATCATTGTTGTTATTATTATGATTACACTTTCTCACCTTTTTGAGAAATTTATTCAGCGTCCACCCCCAAATCTACTATATCTGACCTAATTCATATTTTTGATTGAGATTATGAACCGATTGATGTTAGACCACCTTTGGAAACCTGGAAGCACTGGACGGCCGTTTCGTCCTATTGTGGGGCTCCTCAGCAGTGCGCATCCACTATCCCGCTCGTGGGATTCGAACCCGGGGCCTTCGGTCTCGCGCGCGAACGCTTAACCTACTGGATCACTGAACCGGCATCCACATCCACTATCCCGCTCGCGGGATTCGAACCCAGGGCCTTCGGTCTCGCGCGCGAACGCTTAACCTACTGGATGCGCACTGCTGAGGAGTCCCGCAATAGGAAGAAACGGCCGTCCGGTGCTTCCAGGTTTCCAAAGGTGGTCTAACATCAATCGGTTCATGATCTTAATCAAAAACTTAATAATCTCTACAACCCCTATACTAGTAAAACTAATTCATATTATTCTACATATTACGTAATTTCCGATTTTTATTCCATTATTTTCTCTTTCACCCCATGTTGAACATATTTATTCTGATCATTTATCGCACAATTTCATTTCGCTTATAAACCGATTCAAGTTAACACCTCATATTAGAAAACCCCAGCATTAACGATCTGAATTGATTTTATATAACAAACAACAAATCTTGATTCACATATTACAATTTCCAAATGATGTAATCTGTCTTAAATCTGTCCAATTTCATGGATTATTAATTTAAATATGAGATAATTGTAGAACCTGATGGGAAATTATTGAAAAGAATATTCTTCGTTCATACAATTGTGTTTTAATATAAAGGGAATTTTTCAGCAAGAAAATTATATATATATATAATCTTACAGAATCGCAAACACACTGACAACTTTAGAATGGTTCAGACGAAATCACTGTGAAATTTACTTACCAAACATCAGATTTAGTGGTAAAGTATGCAGATGATAAAGTTTCTGGTGCCATCCAACGTACAGGTAAACGGGCTTGTCCAATTTTTCTATAATATTCTTGATTATTTACAAGACGAGCTAAACCAAAATCTGTAGAAAAAAAAATAGATTGGTGAACTTTTATTCAGGATGGATGTTAGCCCTGAAAAAGTAAAGATAATCTAGGGAAGATCAATTTGACATAACTGAACAATCTATCGAGACTGAATTCATTCAGAAAACATATTATTATTATTATTATTATTATTATTATTATTATTATTATTATTATTATTATTATTATTATTATTACATCCAAACATCATAGTCTAATGAATCATATTTTCAACAGTATACACTCTCGAGGAGAATAAAAGTTAAGCCTAAGTTTCATTAGGGCTCGAGTACACTACAGTATCTGAATCTCTCAATCGACTATATGTTTCAAAGGGATTGTTTTATGTTCTATGGCCATTCGAATATTACGTGAAACAATTCCTAATCAGAATACCAACTTTTATGACCCTCAGCCTGTGCTAAACTAATGACACGTTAACCTGCATTAGCAGCCTTTAGTCAACTCCATATCCTTATTGGTCCTCTGTACAAAAGTCTCTCGCCTATCCCTGCCTGTTGAGTCTAGAACAGAAATATCAGCCTCCGCTGTTTTTATCATATATTTCAGACATATGTAGTTTACATACAAACAGACCAGACCGCATCAAACCATAAAGTGAAGAATACTAATTATAGAGAATCAAGCCAAAAGTGACTGTATGAAATACTGTAACTAATAAATTGGGAATAAATTAAGAGTGGTAAATCATATAACAGTGGTCAATAGGTTAAAAGAAAGCTTATGATAAAAGGAATATGAATATATACATAGAATCTAGTTGTTTAACAGTTATAAATAAAAAGACAAGGACAATGTGCTCCTTTGATGTGAACACTTTATTTACAAATGTACCTAAGAAAAACTATTGATATTTTGTGTGACTATATCTCTTTGATGAATAACCTTCCATTGCCATTTCCTGTCAACACTCTTAAAGATTTATTATTATTGTGTACTAATAATGTAAAATTCACTTTTGAGGGTGTGCACTTTGGACAAATCGATGGTATAGCTTTGGGTAGCCCTTTAGGACCGTTGCTGGCTGACGTGTTCATGGGATATGTTGAAAATCTAGCTGAAGACTCAATTCGAAAGATGGGTTTGTATAAATGGTATGTTGATGATATCATAATCATAGGGGGTAAAGGTGAAGATGTAAACTGCTTGTTAAAAGAACTCAATACAAGTCAAAAGCACATTTCTCTTACATATGAAGAAGAGGAGAACAACCAACTTCCTTTTCTAGACATCCTGATTAGTAGGAGAGATGATGGTTCCATTCAACGTCCTACATATAGGGAACCAACATGGACAGGGTAATATCTTAATTTCCATAGTCATTGCCCAATTCGTTACAAACGTGGGTTAATAAAGGGTTTATTCAATAGAATCAATCATATTTGTACTAGTGATACTAATGAAGTAGAGCCAAAGCTCTTGACTGATACGTTAATGAATAATGGTTATTCATCAAAGTTCATAAACCTCTGGAAGGGTAGCAATACGACTAGACCTATGACGCTTCTGATACCCAGAAAGCAAGTTTAAATTATGTTACCATTTAGAGGCAACACAAATAGTCTCATGTTGAAACAGAGACTTAAATCAGCTATCAACCAGACATTTTATGCGGCCCAATATGTCGTTATCGAAAAGACAAGGTTTGTGTTTCACCAAAAGCCCAAACAACACGTAAGCGATTGTGTTTATAAATTTACATGCATGTTCGGGAAGACGTACATAGGGAGGAGCAATCGTGATTTGCAATTAAGGGTTGGTGAAAACATACGAAAATGGCTACAGAAACAAATGGATTCCAATGGTCAAATAAGATCACAGGATAGACAGACATCATCTTCCATCGCGAAACATTTGATTGAGACTGGTCATAAGGTTGAGATCAAGTCAGCTTTTGTAGTGTTATACAAAAGCCTTCAAGGACATACACTAAGGTTTATTGAAGCCTTGGCTATACGGAAACCCCCTTTATGCGTTCAAAAAAACACTTAACCTATCCTGGTGATACTGATTTATTATCCAGAATGGTAATCACATTGCTTTTGTGTATTTTAACATTATTTTTTGTCGCCCCCTGAATGCCCTGGTACGGCCGAGAGTGGGGAGAGTCCGCTCTCCCTCTCGAAATACTCTCACACGGCCACGCGTATACAGCCTCTGCCAGGGAAGTCCTACTCACTGCCTTCTCGTGGCGGGGGTAATGTTTACGAAAATGAGAGGACGAAAAGCGAATGTCCGGCGCTTTAACCGGATTTCAAATCAATGGTGCACATGGGCTCCAGTATCCTGCGGGAACAAATGGCGTATGAACCAATCGTTGGTCACCGGCTACCATGGGACTGCATCTTCTTACGATGCTCCACTGCCTTGTGGGTTAGACCCTTAGGTCAAAGGCTCGGGGAGTGGCCCCCTAAGATAACCACCTGCTTCGGTTTGGGCACCCGGGCAGTATCACAGCCCACACACAAATTGATGAACTCTTTATGTCTATGGAAATCACCTTTCTCGCTTTGGAAAACAAACAATTGATTCCGATTATTATCATTACAACTATTATTGTCATTATTATTATTATTTTCCACATTATTCACCCTCTTTTATACTTATACAGCGGCTCGTCTTTGGTGGAAATTCGACTGTATCTAAACGTTCTCGAGTCACTGTCCGGTTGAAAATTGTATGTTACCACCGAATACGAGGACTGAAGCAGTTTTTCTGAAACCACGTGCACCATTCAAACTGGCTGCCTTCAACGTTCGCACATTTATGCAGGTCGGACAACAGATAGGGCTGGCTATGTCTTTGGAAAGTCTTAATATCGACGTTGTTGTCTATCCGAGACCCGTATTCAAGACTCTGGCGAAGTACTACAAATTCGATCTCCATCTGTCGCTTCGAAAAGCTTGTTTTACGTGCGCTTATCCGGGGACCCTGTGGCATCTTCGTCTGGTCTTGCTGGCGTTGGTGTCGCACTAAGCGCTAGAGCTGAGGCAGCACTAGTCGATTGGATCCCCATTAACAGTCGGTTATGTGCTGTTAGATTAGAAAGTTCCATCAAAGTGAGAAGAAATCGGCGTGAGAAACGATGTCTTTTCGTCATCTCCGCCTATGCCCCGACAGATTGCAGCCCGGATGCAATCAAGGATGAGTTTTACCACCAGTTATCAGTTCTTCTCCAGAAAGTGCGTTCGACAGATATTGTAGTACTAGCCGGAGACTTGAATGCTCAGGTCGGGCGTCTAGGCACAGAAGAGAGTCGTTTAGGTGGCCGATGGGGACTCGTTGGTCGCAGGTCAGATAACGGGGACCGTCTACTGCAACTTTGCACAGACCACAACCTGTTTCTGGCTAGCACTAACTTTCGGCACAGTCATCGCCGATGTGCCACCTGGCGTCCTCCCTCTGCATCTCAAGCCTGGACTCAGATTGATCACATCGCGATCAGCTACCGCTGGCGTGGTTGTGTACAAGACTGCCGCTCCTTTTGGAGTACCTATCTGGACTCTGACCATGCCTTGGTCTGCGCCAATCTTGCCTTACTTTTCAGTGGACAACGAAGTGACCCCACCAACGGATTGATGTTAGCAAGCTGGTTGCAACTTCTGTTGCAAGTAAGTATCGAACCGAGCTAGCCTCTAGGCTAGCTACCACTCCACCGAAAAGTATAGATGAGCATTGGTTGCAATTGCATGACGCCATGAAAATGGCGGGAACAGTCAGTTGTGGGTTTGCGAAACGTCCCGCTTTTAAGCACTGGGTTTCTTCTGGTTCCTTACAACTCATTGAAGCCCGTCGGTCTACTCCGGGTGACCGTGAGTTTGACCATAAACGAAGGATGTTACGTAAGGAAATTGGGCAAAGCTTGCGTAAGGACCGAGAAGCCTGGTGGTCGATGCGTGCTAATGAGCTGGAAGCAGCAGCTGCATCTGGTAACTACCGGAAGCTCTTCCAGCTCATCCGAGCCACTGGCAGCAAGAAGTCTGGTGTGAGTGAAACAATCTGCGAGGATGATGGGATGCCAATCACTAACATCCATCGACGTCTTGGACGATGGGCAGAATTTTTCGAAGGGCAGTTCAACTGGCCTGCTGCTCCGGCAACATCGGTCAGACTGTCCTGCCCTCCATGGCCGGTGACGACTGATCCACCAAACGAGGAGGAAGTCCGCAAGGAACTCCAACTCTTGAAGCGTTACAAATCACCTGGCCCAGATGACTTACCTCCGGCTCTTTTTAAAGATGGTGGTGACTTTTTGACTAAGGAATTGACGACGTTGTTTACAAAGGTTTGGGAACTAGAGAGTGTACCAACGTCATGGAATGAGTCGATAGTTGTCCCTATCTTTAAAAAGGGTTCACGTCGTTCCTGTAACAACTATCGGGGGATAAGTCTACTTCCGATTGCGTCCAAGCTATTGGCTTCCGTCATTCTTCGTAGGTTGTTCAAAACCCGAGAAAGATTGACTCGCGAGGAGCAGGCTGGGTTTCGTTCTGGTCGAGGATGTATTGATCATATCTTCACCCTCCGCCAAATGTTAGAACACCGCCATACTTTTCAAAGGCCAACAATCGTAGTGTTTCTTGACATCAGGGCTGCCTTCGATTCGTTGGACAGGACTGTTCTCTGGGATTGTCTATTGAAGAAGGGTGTGCCTGAGAAGTTTATTAACATCCTGAAAGCCCTATATAAAAACACCTCAGGCAGAGTGAGGGCATACAACCACCTCTCTCCATTGTTCCATTCGAGCAGTGGGGTTAGGCAGGGTTGCCCAATCTCACCATTCCTCTTCAACTTTGCCATCGATGACATTCTGGAAACAGCTCTGATGAATGTAAGTAATGGTGGTGTGGATCTGTTGCCTGGAGAAAGACTTCTCGACCTTGAGTATGCGGACGATATTGTCTTACTGTGCGATAATGCCCAAGGCATGCAATCCGCACTTAATCAGTTGGCAATCAGTGTCCGTAGGTATGGTATGTGCTTTGCACCTTCGAAGTGCAAAGTACTTCTACAAGACTGGCAGGATTCTAATCCTGTACTCACCCTGGATGGTGAGCAGATAGACGTAGTTGAGAAGTTCGTGTATCTGGGTAGCTGCATAAGTGCTGGTGGGGGTGTGAGTGATGAGATCAATGCACGAATAGTGAAAGCCAGAGCGGCTTATGCCAATCTGGGCCACCTTTGGCGCCTTCGTGATGTTAGTCTGGCTGTAAAAGGTCGGATCTACAACGCGTCGGTGAGAGCAGTTTTGCTCTATGCTTGTGAAACCTGGCCTCTCCGAGTTGAGGACGTTAGACGACTCTCTGTGTTCGATCATCGCTGTCTCCGAAGGATTGCTGACATTCAGTGGCAACACCATGTCAGTAATGCAGAGGTTCGGCATCGTGTGTTCGGGCACAGAGATGATAATTCAATTGGTGTCACCATCTTGAAACACCGACTTCGGTGGCTTGGACATGTTCTCCGAATGTCGTCCCAGAGAATTCCACGTCGTGCATTATTTGCCGACTCTGGGACTGGTTGGAAGAAGCGGAGAGGTGGTCAGTGCATGACATGGTGTCGTGGTATGAAAGAAAGCTGCAAAGGACTGGCTTGTGTTGGTCCTTCACGACTCCCTGGTTGGGGTCCGAGAGATGGTGTTGTCAGATATGGCTCAGAATAGAAGCCAGTGGCGATCCTGCTGTAACCTTTTACTTTCTTCATAAAAAGTGGTTGTGTCTCCTTACCTGAAAGATTTCTTCTGATTGTACCTTTTCGTTCCGTCGTTACTACCACACTACCTTACTCCAATCTCTTCGTCATTGTTCTCTTTTTCTTTTGCGCTCCTTAGTTTTTTTTCTACTTCTCTTCGAATTCTCATTGTTTTGTGTGGCGCATATATTGGCGCTCTCTTGTACCAATATTCATGTGTGCAAATAAATAAATAAATAATTTTTTTGTTACGGCTTACCTTTAACCTTTCTAGTTTATCATTTTATATTATTAGAAAGAAACAAAAAACAAAAAAATCCATTTATCAGCTGATATCAGTTCATTTGATAACATTTACCTAACAATTTGATCACTGATAAAAGCAGTTTCTATCAATAGGAGTCACTATTGATTAATCAGAATCTTTTATTTTGTTGTTGTAAATAATGTTAACAACTTAAAATGTGATCATTTATTTATTTTTTATTTTAACACATGGATATTGGTACAAAGGGGCACCAGATACATATGCGCCACATAAATCAAATGAGATTTGTGAGAGGGCTGTGATACTCCCCGGGTGCCCAAACCGAAGCAGGTGGTTATCTTTGGGAGCCACACCCGGAGCCTTTGACCTAAAGGTCAGATAAACAAGGCAGTGGAGCATCGTAAGGAAATGCAGTCCCATGGAAGCCGGTGACCAACGATTGGTTCATACGCTATTTGATCCTTCGGGATACTGGAGCCCATGTGCACCATTGGTTTGGAATCAGGGTTTTCCAACTCCCTAAGTGGACTCACCGTGTCCACTGGCCCGGTTAAAGCGCCGGACATTCGCCTTTCGTCCTCCCATTTTCGTAAACGATATCCTCACCACGAGAAGACGGTGAGTAGGTGTTAGGTATGCAGAGGAATATACCAATAATTACCGTGTCAAGTCTAATGGTGTCCTTGGACGTTAGATGTACACTCTCTATTGGTCAGTATTTATTTCACTTGTTAAATATTGTGTAAATGTTGTTTTCTATTTTTATGGTACGATTTGGTCTGTTTGGTTGGTATATAAACGGAGTATGTCTGAAATATAACGATTCATATCTCAGAGGCTGTGACTTGTGTTCTGGACTCAACTGGCTGGGCTAGACAGGGAAGCAGGACCAGTCAGAACCCTAGGCCGTCCACTGCGTGTTTTACGTGTCACTGATTCAATCGATAAAACGCTGCGCATCTAACCTGCAGTCCACCCGCTACAACAGTAGGATTCCCCTGGCAGTGGATGTATACACGTGGCCATGTGAGAGCATTTCGAGAGGGAGAGCGGACTCGCTTCACTCTCGGCCGTACCAGGGCATTTAGGGACTTGTGATCATTATCACTACAAATTCTAAAATACTTCTACTATAAAAGATATCGAGTAGTAGTTGTAATGATAAAAAGAAAACTCTTGTTCAGCGATTTATAATAAATTTATAATACAATAAAAGAAGGGAGAAGGGATTGATTTAAGCAGAGTATAATACAAAAATTATGATACATTTAAACTACGAAAATTAAAATAAATAAAAAAAACTGAATACACTTTCATATTATTTAGTAAATCTTTTATATAAACTTAAAGTACAATGCAATTTCTCATAGGATTACTTTAGATTATCATCAGTAAGTGATTTTAGAGAATCGGTAACATGTGTTCATTTCACTATTATTAGAATGGGAGTTCATGGAGATTGTAGTAATTTTTTTTAATAGCTGAATTTATGAATTGATTTAAGCTAAACCACCATTGAAAATCTGAAAGTGCCAGACTAATGAATTTAGTTATTAAAAAATTACTACAATCTCCACAAACCCCACTTCTAATAATAATCATGATATTCTCATTTATGACTGTCTTCAAGACGGATTTCCTAGAATTCTAGTGAGAAGCCGTGACCAGTGGTGTCTAATACGTGTCGGGTAGAGACAGGTATCTACCTCAGACAATGGATGAAGGGTTGAGCAAGATCATGGATCGATTGAAGTTAGATATTAACAACACTGGTTGCCGATTCAATGGTCTGGAGATTAAGCGTTCGCACGTGAGATCGGAAATCCTGGGTTCAAGTCCCGTATGCAAGACCGTGGGCTCGCACTGCTGAAGAGTCCCATACTAAAATGAAACGGTCGTCCAACGCTTCCAAACTTTCAATGGTTGTCTAGCTTAGATAGACTCATGAATTTAACAATTAAGATTCTATGTTATGTATATAATAATTGTATAGAATAATTGTCATTTTCTTTGCAACAACATACCTGCAATTTTCACAGTTAACATAGAACTGACTAAACAATTTCGTGCAGCTAAATCACGATGTATAATATGTAATTCGGTCAAATAATTCATACCAGTAGCTAATTGTATAGCCCAATTAATTGCAAGTTGAATATCGATTGATCCTTGTGGACAATCATCTTTTGACATTTGTTGACGTAAATATGTAGCTAAATCTCCAAAAGCCATATATTCCATGATTATAACAGGATGAGTTGATGGCTAATCCATCAGATAACAAATGTTGAAATTGTTTTTAGTCACAAGATGTAAACTTTGAAAAAAAAACTATTAGACTGTGTAATAACAGAACCAAAATGTTCTTTTTAAAAAAAGTAGTGTCAAACAGTTGGATGTGAGAATATATATATATCACTAAATAAATCTAACATACAAGTGCCCGAAGGGTTGTAAATGATTATGTTACTGGATAGAAATCAGTTGACAAAAGAATATTCAATCTTTGTACTACTCTATAGGATGCCTGAATTGCTGAAAATGTGAATCGGACGTCACAAAATAGACATTAGAAAATCTGGTAATTATTTAATTTATTGTAATTCAGTAATCAAGTACAAATTCACATACTCGATTGTCATTAATACTTTATATGTAAAGGTTAATGATTGAACTCGTTGTTCAAATTGAATTAGCAGATAAAGTATAACTCAATTCTATAAGTTGGTCGAATCCCTTAAGTCGTCATTTTGCATGAATAACTTATTGTACAACGCATTATACACTAAGAAAGCAAACATGCAAATGGACTACAAATTTGAAAGAGCTTTATGTACCTAGATATAAAATCAATTAAATGTTTGACATCAATAATAATTACATACAGTGATGTTTCATTTTAATTCTTGAAAAGAAGTATCAAAAAGATCAGCATTTCAAAGTGTATCGTAATCGACATTTTTCTTATGAAGTCCTAGTAAAGCCTTTTCAAAAGTTGACCAATAACAAATCATAGTGAATTGTAGAGAGATATAACATTTTGAATCAGATTACCACAGATTATGAACTTTGAGAAAACTGAAACAATGAATCTAAGTAATTTACCATGATCTATTCATAAAATAAAAACATCCCCATCCTTTGTTTGCTGCATCGATGTTTACTTCTCTCTTATGAAAATACGTTAAATGTGCTTACACCTGTAAGTATATTCCATTCCACAAGTGAGAGTATAGGAACTAAATGTTTAATCGATTTTATTACTGAACCCACTAATTAAACCTAACTACCTAGTGATACTATACACTAACAACGTCCCTGGTAACATTAACTAAACTGAATAATATTTAACCCGAACAATAGATCTAAAAACAACTTGTGGTGTGTAATATGGTAGACCTGATTGACTGACGTAACGAAGTAATTAAAGCTTTTGTTGTTCCGTGCCGTCTGTTCCCGTTTAATTTTCCCTAGATGTAAATGGTTATGATCACTCGTTTTTGGGACTGCTTACTTGTCTTGTGACGCAGTTCGGTGCTTTCCTCAATGTGTGTCCTATCCACTTCCAGCGCTTCTTCCTAATCTCTTCCTCCGCTGGGATCTGGTTTGTTCTCTCCCACAGTACGTTGTTGCTAATAGTGTCCGGCCAACGGATCCGAAGTATTTTGCGTAGACAACTGTTAATAAACACCTGTATCTTCTGGATGATGGCTTTCGTAGTTCTCCAGATTTCTGCTCCATACAGTAGAGCTGTCTTGACATTTGTATTGAAAATCCTGACCTTGGTGTTGGTTGACAGTTGCTTTGAATTCCAGGTGTTCCTCAGTTGTGAATATGCTGCTCTTGCTTTGCCGATCCGCTCTTTCACATCTGCATCAGATCCACCGTGTTCATCAATGATGCTGCCCAAATATGTAAAGGTTTTTACATCTTCCAAATCTTCTCCGTCAATTGTGATTCGATTGGTGCATTCTGTGTTGTATCGGAGAATCCTGCTTTTCCCTTTGTGTATATTGAGACCTATTGCTGCTGGGGCTGCTGCCACACTGTTCGTCTTCTCCTGCATCTGTTGTTGCGTTTGGGATAGAAGGGCCAGATCATCTGCGAAGTCCAGATCGTCCAACTGCATCCTAGGTGTCCATTGTATCCCGTGCTTCCCTTCAGACGTTGACGTCTTCATGATCCAGTCGATCACCAGGAGAAAGAGAAAGGGTGAGAGTAAGCAACCTTGCCTGACACCGGTCTTCACTTTGAACGACTTTGTCAACTGTCCTCCATGCACGATTTTGCACTGTAATCCATCATATGAGTTCTGTATGATATTGACTATCTTCTGAGGCACGCCGTAGTGTCGAAGAAGTTTCTATAGTGTTGTTCTGTCCACGCTATCAAATGCGTTTTCGTAGTCAATGAAGTTGATGTAGAGTGATGAATTCCATTCAATTGATTGTTCCACAATGATCCGTAGAGTTGCGATTTGGTCTGTACACGATCTATCCTTACGGAATCCTGCCTGTTGGTCACGAAGTTGGGCGTCTACGCAGTCCTTCATCCTGTTTAACAATACCCTGTTGAAGATTTTTCCCGGTATTGAGGGAAGAGTGATGCCCCTGTAGTTATCGCAGTTGCTGAGATCGCCTTCCTTCGGTATTTTGATCAGTAGTCCTTCTTTCCAGTCTTTTGGTACTTGTTCCTCATCCCAAATCTTATTGAAGAGAATGTGGAGTATCCTTGCAGTTGCCGCTACGTCTTTTAGTGCCTCTGCTGGGATGTTGTCCGGTCCTGCTGCTTTTCCACTCTTGATTTGTCTGATGGCCATGCTGATTTCTTCAATTGTTGGTGGGCCAACATCGATTGGGAGGTCCGTGGTTGTTTTGGGACTGCAAATGACCTTAAATACATTGTTCACACATCAACAGAATGTCTCCTTAAAAAGAATTAATAGTTTTGACTGAAGCTTTGAACTGATGTAGTACATGTTAAAAAATGTACTAACTAAACGATTTTTGGAGAAGAACACGTCAAAAAGTCTTATATCACATGTATCCCGTACATTTAATATTAATGTCGATATCAAGCTGTCTATACTTGTAAACCGTCATGAATTCAGTTTACATACACCGGAGTCTTTAGTATTTACAAAATCATTTTAGAAGTGATTGGTTATAAGCTACTTGACTTGGAATTCTTCGACTCAAAGTCAAAAAGTTATGTATGTGATAACGGTAAGAATGTTTAGTTTAAAAAAGATAAATAATAATTTTTGTAAGTCACAAAAAACCATTTATATCTATGGTATTCTTATCTTAAAAACAGATAAAATACTCATTCAATCGATAAAGTTGTAAATTGTCAAGTACTTTTTAAAGTATGATACAACCGCCAAAACTGAAATATTGCTTAAGATTGATCAATTTCCGGATATGTAACTCATTTACTAAATACCAACTTATATATGAAACGAAGTGCTATTATCTGGTTTATCTAACTGAATTAAGTAGAGTAAATTTATTAGTTAACCTTTACATATTTGGCAGCATCATTGATGAATATGGCGGGTCTGATGCAGATGTGAAAGAGCGGATCGGCAAAGCAAGAGCAGCATATTCACAACTGAAGAACATCTGGAACTCAAAGCAACTGTCAACCAACACCAAGGTCAGGATTTTCAATACAAATGTCAAGACAGCTCTACTGTATGGAGCAGAAATCTGGAGAACTACGAAAGCCATCATCCAGAAGATACAGGTGTTTATTAACAGTTGTCTACGCAAAATACTTCGGATCCGTTGGCCGGACACTATTAGCAACAACGTACTGTGGGAGAGAACAAACCAGATCCCAGCGGAGGAAGAGATTAGGAAGAAGCGCTGGAAGTGGATAGGACACACATTGAGGAAAGCACCGAACTGCGTCACAAGACAAGCCCTCACATGGAATCCTCAAGGCCAAAGGAAAAGAGGAAGACCAAAGAACACAATAGGCCAGGAAATGGAGATAGACATGAGAAAAATGAACAAGAATTGGATGGAATTAGAAAAGAAGGCCTGGGCCAGAGTGGGTTGGAGAATGCCGATCGGCGGCCTATGCTCCATTAGGAGTAACAGGCATAAGTAAGTAAGTAAGTAAGTAAATTTATTAGTTGAAAGTAATTTGTTTTAACCACTAAGCTGCCACTAACATTCACTCTATTTCATGATAAATGCACAAAGAAAAATCGATGAATACTCAGATCATTTTTATTGATACATAAGATCGAATGAATGACGTATATCTCAAACTCTGTCAGGCGAAAAGTGTATTAAATATAAAAAGGCAGTCATAATTGTAATTCAAAACAATAATGATAATAATAATTGTAATAACATTAGTCATAAACTGACTTGTCTTAATGCGATTCCCAAAAATTGTACAATATATTTGCAATTAAGCTGTTTCATAAATGACGCCTCGTTGTAGAACTCGCGTATATCATCTATAGTTGAAGCAGGGAACAAAGTCTGAATAACAAAATAATGAAATATTGTTTTTTTTTATAGATAAACGGTGGTTTTTATTGCACAGAACAATTTCAAACTGAAAATATCAATTAGCATGAAAACCAAGAACTAGATAAATCATCTAATTATATAAAAGCACTTATTAGAAATATATAGAGGTTTTGAATGGTATTGTATATTTAAAGCTGAAAGACATATTTTAATTTTTAAAATAGTCTCTTATTATTATTGGAGATAAAATCACTTTTGAATTAGTTAAAACGCAAAAATAAGGGGTGAAACCTTTTGATGACAGCATTTGATTGGCGGAGCATCTCTCTAAGTGTTGGGACGGCTTCGAGAAGCACGATGAAGCCTTCAGAGACGTTCTCCCATGTAGCCAAATCATTAACGATAGAACGGGACTATAACCAAATTGATAAAGAAGTTCTATCGACTAGCTTTGCCGTAAAAAGGGCCCATAAGATTATATTTGTTCGGCAATTCACCCCATTAACAGACCATAAACCGTTACTGGCCGTATTAAGGATAACGAAGGGCAACAACACTTGTAGGCTATGATTTCAAGATAAAGTACCAGTCTATTACAGCTTTGTGGCAAGCTGATGTCTTATCTAGATTATTAGGTTCACAGACAAAAATGTCAGAAGACACTGTTGTGGCAAATATAAAAGCTAAGACGGAAGTCCAACACTTATTGAATGCTGCAATCGATGGACTACCAGTTACATACGAAGATATCAAAGAAACCAATGAAACTGACAAGACATAAGAATAAATCAGAAGTTATCCTTTTACTAAATGGCCAAAGCATCGCTTCGAAGGAGAACTTTTGCAGTACTTTCCTCGACGTGACTCTGTGATGGTTCTTGACTCATGTTTTATGTTCGGTGGTGGAATTGTTATTTTAAAATTAATGCTCCCCAAGACTCTTAAGCAAATTTACATTAGTCACCCTAAGATCAATAAGATGAAATCGTTAGACTTGAAGTTACGCTTATTGGCTCCCAATGAATATAGATATCGAAAACAAATACCATAACTGCCTATCATGTCCGCAAGCTGCTAAAAACCCTTCGAAATGCAAACCACAGCAGTGGCCTAAGCCTTCAAAACCCCGAGAGAGACTTCACGCAGATTTTGCTGGTTCAGTACAAGGGAAATGTTTCTAGTTATCGTAGATGCATTTTCAAAGTGGCTGGAAGTATATACTATACCTAACTGTAAAATCGCAGAAACAATCAACAAGTTATTTAATTTGTTTATTTATTTCAGAGCCCCGGGGAACTTAGTGACAATTCATTTCGGATTCATTCAAGTACTTCTGTAATATGAATCGAATAACACATCTACGCTCTTTACCCTATCAAATCCAAGTGTATGAACAGACGGAACGCTTTGTCGACACTTTTAGAAGAGCATTAATAAAAGGGGGAGATGAGAGGACAAGTAGTCAAGTAATCACAAACTACTTCCAACCAACGTTTCAAGACGTTAAAAGTGATACTGGTTATTATGTGATTAACAAGAAAATAAAATACAAATGAATTCTACCTTACAATCCATAAGAAATTGCATAACAGAAATACTAACTATATGAGTGGCAGTTTTCTTTCAAAAGAAGTATCACATCGTTATAAACATGTTGATCGGTTAGTTAAAGCTAGAAAATATGAATAACTAATTCAGGAGCATTCACTGACACTCAAACATGACATAAAAGTAACAACAGAAGACTTAACTTGATACGGTGTGTCAATCAATAATCATCAAAATGATTAGTCAGGGAATAGCTTTATTTTGCAAATAATGAAAAAATAACCAATGGAAAGTTTACTTTTCCAACGGACACATATATGTAGAAAAAGTGTACAGATTTTTCTTGATTTGGTTAGGACTTCATTCTTCACCTTTTCTTCCGAGTAGTCAGGGCTATGTACAGGAAGAATGGGTATACGGATACGGTGCATTACAAAAAAAAACTGAAATTATGTGGCGAGATCTTTTACATTGACAGCAAGAAATATTGTACAGTCAACAAATTAACTTACTTTTACAGCTACTTCTAAACCAACAGATCCTCCTCCTGAAGCAAAACATTTCGAATTTGTAGTGGTTTCTCTAACATTTCCATTTGAATCAACGATAGATAATTGTTGACTAGCTGGAGTAGATAGACGTAATATACATCCTTTGTATACCATACCAAACGAACCTCGACCCAATGGTGTATCAGTGTCTATTATTAAATCATTCATGGGAATTATCCATTCATTGGAAATGCCAGCATTTGCTAATTCCCATTCTTCATTTCTCCATGGTTTGTTTTGCAGTCGTTTCCTATAAGTATGATTTAGTTTATTAACTGACATTATTTGAAACTGTTCGATTAATATCGAAACATTCGTTTATTTTATATGATTCAGTTTCACTTAAAATCTGAGTAAGCTACGAGTACTAAGATTGCATAACAGTTGATAGAAGTAAAATAACATACAAGTAATTGGTTTTAAATAGGAAAAAGAGCATTCAGCGAAGAAAATTTTCTTTTTGACGAAATACTTTACTTAAGCTGTACATTCGTATATATAGTTCTATGGAAAATATATGTCTATAGGAAGATAGAAAAGATTACATTATAAATTTATTGCCTATGTAACGTGTCTCACATGAGCAAACAAATTTATAGATACACATTGATACAGCTCAAAGCGATGTTTATCCTTAACACATCCAGGCCAGTTTGAGAAACCAATTCGGAGCTTAACCGCGTAGAACGATTTATTCAACGATTTTGAAATCCGTTTATTTAAGATTTCAGCGGCCGTGTCTCTTTTGAATTCCATATTCGTAAACAAGGTTTTCTCCTGTACTGTCGATGCTTTTTCAAGATGGGGTTTAGGTGTTAATTTGCTATTGACGAATCTAGGTGGATAACTATTTCTGATGAGAGTCTATCGAAGTTGAAATAGTTACTCATCTATTGTGTCAGTGGAACAGATTCGCTTGATCCTAGAGGATAAAGAGTGAATTAAGTTCCTCTTTCTACTCAGTGGGACCCAACTATGGAAATTCGTATACTGTTCATTCCAGGTAGATTTTCTATACATCGATCACTGTAAAAAAGCCATCCGGCATTCTTTCCAATCGGACATCAAAAAAATGAAACTCATTGTTTGCCTCTGCTTCTAAGGTGAATTGAATTGAAGGGTGACAATTATTGAAACTATTCAAAATTTCATTGAGGTTCATGTCTTCTTCACAAATAATGAAAGTATCATCCATATATCTCTTACACAAATGAAATCTCTCAATTATTGATCGAAGTACCGAATTTTGTAGATTGGCCATGAAACAATCAGGCAAGAGAGGATCTAATGGAACTCCATCTATTTGTCTATAGAAATCATCATTAAATCTAAATTGCACGTTGAGCGTACGTCGTAAAAGTAGTTCTTTTAGATAATGTTTTGGGATACACATATCAAGGTTTTTGTTTTCAATATAGTCACATAAAAACAAGTAGTTTCTGTGAGAGAAACATTTGTAAAAAGAGAAGTGACATGTAATGAGATCATTTTCTTACCAATGACGTTAATATTTCTAATTGAGTCGACAAATTCAAATGGATCAAAAGAATTATATTTATTGATATGATATTTGACAGGTTGTAAAATGTCAGCTGACCATTTGGCAATCAAGTGATACAAAGAGTAGACCTAGAGCGACATTATTCTTATGAACGTTTTGGAGTCCATATAATCTTGGTATAGCGGAACCCGATGGTTTAAAATGTGCATAAAGATCACAATCGATAATAAACTCATCTTTCATCTTCCTTAGGATTTTAATTAACATCCGTTCAGTTTGTTTAGTTGTGTCTTTTTGAACGGTTTCTTTGGAGAATTTGATAGGATCGGATAATATCGAAGATATTTTGGTAACATAGTCAAGACGATCCATAAGGACAATTCCTGCACCCTTTTCTAAGCGACATAACACTAAGTCCTGATTTCTCCGAAGATCAGATAATTGGGCAACTACAGGATATTAGAATTATTATACTATTATAACAGATACTCTTGAGATGAAGGTTCGAACCCCTATTAGATTTCTACTTTTGGATAATCCAAATACACAAATCTGTATTTCCTTATTGAATAAAATTAATTTGTACAAACGATGAAAAAGGAATTAAAATCAAAATGATTTGATTTAAAAACAAAACTGTGTACTTGTAAATTGTTATTCGATTAAAACTATTATTATAATTTTAATTGTCAAATTTTTTTTTAAACCTCAATGGGAAGATACAAGCCAAACAATACCAAGTGAATTTAAATTCACCTCATCGCACAAGCAAGTGGCTATCAGGACTCAGTAGCTAAGTGGATAACGAGATGGCGTTTGAAGCGAACGATACTGAGTTCGAGTCCCAGAGTGAACATCAACTCTGAGATGCAGGTACACCCAGCTGACGAGCCCCAAATAGGACGAAACGCGCGTCCTGGATTCCACTGCTAGCCACTATCCATCATTGCTTACAAAAAGCTTGTGAATTAAGACAATATCGAGGCATAGGCACAGTATCCACATATGCCAGACTGAACAATTGCAGTCTTAAACCTCAATGGGAAGATATAAGCCAAACAATAGCAAGTGAATTTAATTGTCAAATGATATAAATAATACAAAATCAAAGAAATAAGTATTAAAAGAAAACAAAAACAAGTCAATTTACAATTTTATACATTTAGTCACTTGATAAAGGAAATAGATAAGATTATGCAATATATTTCCAAACACACAATAATAATTGGGTTTAATTAGAATTTGATTACAATAGTAAATATTAATTGAATTTCAATTAAAAGTATAATTATTCATTCAGATTAAATAAACAATAACATGGTGTTTTATAATAAGTAAGGTCAATATTAGTGTTTATGTGAGAAGTAATCTATAAAAGAATTTCTCCTTATTTGATATGATATTTCAAAGTTATAGATTTTATATCTCAACAAAGTAAACAATGTTTACATTATTCAGCTCATTGTATTCACACACACATACACACAAACACTTTGAAAATGACTGGTTAAAAATTTATTAGGAATTAAGAGTATGCATTTCATTCTTTTTGATACTTGTCAGGTGAATGACGTAACCGTTGTACAAGGTAAAAGCTATTTGAAGTCGATAGCTCAATATATAACTTGATAGTGCTTTAACGGAAACATACCGGGTTCGAGCTTGAATGTGAACATTATTAATCAGATCCAGGGATATTCATTTGACGAATCCTAACTAGGAGTACACAAGAATCCTGGTTTCTATTGCTAGCTATTATTTAACTTTCATAAAAACTTGTAACTAAATCATAATATCGAGATAATCTACTAACAATGGATTATATGGGAAGAGATTGATCAATGGTACACGTAACAATAATAACGGGAAAAATAAAAACCATAACCAAAGAAAATGGTCATCAAATTTGTAATTTTATTTTATTAATAAATAGATATGTAGTGTGCACTACTTATGTCGACAGAAATAAGTAGTGTGTAGCAGAAATTGGAAGCTAATGATGTATTCATTGTATGGTTTTCATATTTTACAAAGCTACTGTTTGATTTTGTATAAAACAATAAATTTGTTTTCCCCATCAAGTCCCCATTCACTACAGATATACTGTAGAAATTTATTTCGGTTTGATGAATTATCTAGAAAAAATTTCATATGTGTTACTAATAAAATATCACAATAAACGATTAGACCATAATTTACGGACGATTTTTGAGCGACGCAGAAGTGACATTGAGAGTGTCTACCTACTTAATAGGGATTAATGAAGGTTATAAAGCAGTTTGATGAATAAAGACAATGATTTACAGTTGACGGTAAGCGTTAGGATTTGGATTTATGGTTTTCATCATTAGCCGACACCAGCTAAAATGCCGAGACGCTATTTGGACGGCTTGATCAGTGGACTTCACGCCAAAACCCAAGAGCTGTTATCCTAAATTTGCTTGGTTCGTCCACAAATTATAATTTCGCCCAATAAACTACCTGATTATACATGAAATATAGGTTGCATTTTTTCCAATCTATTTAAGTAGTATATTAACGACAACCAAACAATGAAAAGTATAAACATGATCAATAGTAATAAATACAGTAGTAAATAGAAATGTACAAAATCAAACACACCAATGTTGGTATTCATATAATAATAATGATAATAATTACCGTGCAATTCTCCGTTGAATACATACTGCTGCCAAACTCAGAAGAATGATATTGAATATAAAACAAATGACCAAAATGTAGTAATGTTCTATTTGAATGAAAAATAAAGAGACATGGTGTAGTTTTTATGAAAAGATTGTTAATAATTATAGATGATAAATATAAATGTTTTTTATATCCCAATAAGTAGAAAATGGTATTTCCGATGTTTCGTGACTTCTTCAGAGTAAATAAATAACTGAATTAACACAATTGTACATAATAAAAAAAGGAAACAATGCGAAATACTTTAAGTACAATCATAATAGATTGGTTGTCTTATAGAAGGCTTAAAATGTGTAAATTTTGAAGATCCGTTGAAATATATAGATTATAGAAGTCAATTATAGAACTCAGTGAAAAGAGTAAACTACATTTTTTGTTACAATATATTGATCTCGTTGCAAAATTTGTATTGTTATAAGAAGAATGAAGAGAATACACAACCAAATTAATTTATCTAGTACAATGTTTTTCGTTACTATACTAAAAGATTAAAAATTGTATAATTTTTAGAGCATTACATACTTACGCCTGCTACTCCTCGTGCAGCAGCATAGGCAGACCACCAGCACACTCCATTCAACTCTGTCCTGGGCAATTCTTTCCAGATACTATTCATTCTTTTCATGTCTGCTTCCAATTATCGGTGCAATCTGTTCTTTAGTCTACCACTTTTCCATCTACCCTCACCATTCCAAGTTAGCCATTGCTTCGTAATGCAGTTTGGTGACTTCCTCATAGTATGTTCTATCCACTTCCAACATATTTTCCTAATTTCCTCTCCAGATGGAAGCTGGTTTGTCCTCTCTCACAGTAAGCTGTTGCTCATGGTATCTGGTCAACGGACATTGAGCACCTTGCGTAGATAATTGTTTATAAATAATTCTATCTTTTTGATGATGGTTGTAGTAGTTCTCCAAGTTTCAGCTCCATACAGTAGAACTGTTTTGACGTTCGTATTGAAGATTCTCACTTTGATGTTGGTTGACAGTTGTTTTGAGTTCCATTTGTTATTGAACTGCCAATCCTCACCTTTATGTCTGCATCAGATCTTCCTTATTCATCGATGATGCATTAAGGATTCCACATATTCCTGAGCTTATCTGTCGCGTGTAATTGTGTTGGTGTTCACCGTGTTGTATATGAGGATCTTGCTTCTTCCTTTGTGTATGTTGAAGCCTACTGATGTAGAAGCTGCTTCTACACTAGTTGTCTTCATCTGCATTTGTTTGTGTGTATGGAATAGAGTAGCCAGGTCATCTGAGAAGTTCAAATCTTCTAATTTATTTCAAGCTGTTCAATGTATTCCGTGTTATCTCTCAGATGTAGAGATTTTCATAATCTAGTCGACCACCAGAAGAAAGAGAGAGAGGGAGAATAGGCAGCCTTGCCTGACTCCGGTTCTTACTTGGAATGTGTCTGTCAGTTGTCCTCCATGCGCGACGTTGCAGTGTAGTCCGTCGTATGTATTTCGTATGATGTTGACGATTTTTTAAGGTACACCATAATGCAGAAGACGTTTCCATAATGATCTATTCACACTGTCAAATGCTTTTTCAGAATTAAGGAATTTGATGTATGATGACGAGTTCCATTCAACTGATTGCTCAACAATGATGCGTAGTGTAGCTATTTGGTATGTGTACAACCGATCCTTAAGAAATCCGGTCTACTGATCTCGAAGCTGAATGTCTAGTAAATTTCTCATCCGGCACAACAACACTCTATTGAAAACTTCACATATATTTATTATGATTAAAGCCTACTCATATCGATGTGGATAGTTCTTTAATCAAGTAAGTATAATCTAAACAATTGAAAGTTACATTGTTACTTGGTAAAGGCTTACGTTATTGAGAAGTTTGAAAAAAAAGATGTTTGCAAAACCGACAATCGTTAAGTAGCAGTGGATTGTAATTAAAATAATCAAATAATCGCAACAACTCATATATAAGGCTTTCAGAGACTAGACGGATATCAATGTACCGTATACAATCGTATATGAATATGTAACCGAAGAAAGACAAATATAAAATTTTAATAACCCTAGTAGAATTTTGCAACTGGTATTCGGATATACACTCTTTCACGTCAACATATGGATGTTTGGTTGAATAATTCTTTGTTAGAATATTCATAAGTACTAAGATGAGTGTGGTAGAAGTTGGATATTTCGAATGTTATTAGGATATTAAAAATGCAAACACATTTATAAGAGTTATACTTTAAATACTTTTACAAACTGTAATTTAATCAAACGCGATAGATCTGGTTGGATTGAAATTGCCATCATAATCTGATAAATATTCGAACATAGAAGTATATGTTTGAATTTCATACCAACAAAAACCAATATCATTAATGGGCTTCTCTGATGAGAAACTTCAGATCAACAAGTATAAACGTCTAGACTAGCTAAATCTAGTCAGTTTATTTTGAACTACCAACAATAAAAGAAAGCTATGTAAGTCGAATAGTAGCTACTAGCTGATGTAAAATGTGTTTTGAAGCAAAGAACCTTTATTGATGATATAAAAGATTTTGTCACAGCAATATAGAAAGTAAGAAGAACAGTCGATTCATTTGTATTATTTAATTGAATCTGCCTGTTAACGTTATGGACTGGAATTGATCAACCATTTATGGCCCGAATATGATGAAACGCACTTCCCAGAATCCGCTGACAGCCACTATCCAACGTAATTTATAAGATACTTCTAACTTGAGAAAAAAATCAATATGATGCACATATTCCAAACGAGACTGATAGATTGCAGTCCCTAACACCAACGGAAAGATTCAAGCAACCAATACAAATATATTAAAATTCATCCCGTTAGACAAGCTAGTGGCTATCTGTACACAGTAGCTAAGTAGCGTTTGAAGCGAAAGGTACTGAGTGAGTCCTAGTGTGAAAATCAACAATGGGCTGTAGATACACATGGCTGACGAGTCTCAAATAAAGTGAAACATGCGTATTGGATTCCATTGCTAGCAGCTATTTCACTCTGTTCATCATAAAACAAAGTTTGTTTTAAATAATTACTTGAAAAAGTGATAAGGATGTCAATCTTTCAAATATATATATTAGAATAATGCAACTATTAACGAAATTTCAAATACTATTTAAAAAGAAACTCACTTTCTAAGAAATCCCAAATGGAATGTACACTAGTGTCGAACACTTCGAAACGTTTAACAGAAGTCCATGAACCATTTCCAGCTAAAGAAACACTCATAATTTGAAATTCATAAACACCGGAACGCAGATCATATAATTGCACAAAAACATAACGATCGGTCACAATATTTTGATTTATTATAATAGGTAGGTTAATGGCATTTAAACATATTAAAGACCAAGTTCGTTCCTAGTATTGAAACAAAGAATAAAATCAATGAATAGATAAAACAAAATTCTGTAGAGAAAAAAGAAACCATTACTGATAAGAAATTCAAATTTATTTAAAAGTGTTTTTTGAAAGTCGATTTAATTTGTAGTCAGTATTTATCACAGATCAATCTTGTTTAGAGATGTTCGGAGTGTAACAGTTATCATTAATAACATTCTATGATAATCACATTATATCATAAATTGACTAACGTTGGAATTATATCACTGGGGATCGATTTGGTGATTTTAATGTTTAAGAACTCGCCATGCGATCTGAAGATCCTGGGTTTGACCCTAAGTTATGTCAGGAATGGGCATTATAAGGGAGTCTCATCCAAGGTCAAAACAGCCGTCCTACTTTCGTGGTTTATAGTGATACCATATATGAGAGCAACTAAATTTATAGTACTATGACTAAATAACTGTCCAGTGCTTTCAGGTTTTCAATGGTTTTCTAGCTTAGACTGACTCATGAATTCAACTATTAAAGTTACTACAATCTCTACATACTATATATATACAATTGTACAGGTTGATAATAAATTGGTTGAACTTCGTTTTTAGTGTTTAAATGGCAATTATCCGTCAAATACTATCAAGTTTGTCGAGAAAATGCACCATAACTTTTCGGCTAATTTAAGTAATAAAAACCATACAAAATATTATTTGTGAAAAGTATATTTGAAATAATTTTAGAGATTGAAACTTAACTAGTTCTAACGCTTTATTCAGTAAACTTGTCTGAACTTCTACAGGGTAATGATTAAAATCAAATTTATCAAAGGATAAATAATGTTCAATAGTCAAATCAAATCTTTACTGTGTTTATCTAATCATATTCAGATGTTAACTTGGGTATGTGGTGTAACACAAGTCAATAAGGTGTGAAAAGTTCACAATGTGGAAGGTAGATAAGTGAATGCCCCCAAATGCCCTGGTACGGCCGAGAGTGGAGAGAGTCCGTTCTCCTTCTCGAAATGCTCTCAAATGGCCACGCGTATATAGCCTCTGACAGGGAAGTCCTACTCATTGCCTTCTCGTGCAGGGGTGTTGTTTACGAGATTCAGAGAACTAAAGGCGAATGTCTGGCGCTTTAACCGGGTCAATGGACACGGTGAGTCCACCTAGGGAGTTGGGAAACCCTGATTCCAAACCAATGGTGCACATGGGCTCCAGTATCCTGTGGGAACAAATGGCGTATGAACCAATCGTTGGTCACCGGCTTCCATGGGACTGCATCTGCTTACGATGCTTCACTGCCTTGTGGATCGTACGTTTATGTCAAAGGCTCCGGTTGTGGCCCCCTAAGAAAACCACCTGCTCCGGTTCGGGCACCCGGGCAGTATCACAGCCCACACACATATCGAATAAGATTTGTGTGGTTCATATGTATTTTGTGCCTTCTTGTACCAATATATATGTGTTCAAATGAATAAATAAGATAAGTGAATGAATGACAGTATGTGCATGTGTAAGTTTGAGTTATTAATAGTGGATACTAGGTGTTGATCTGTTTTTATATGAAGTAAAAATAAAAGTTCAAATTGAAAATACTTTCATGAAATGTCGATGTGCATTTAAAATGAGAACTATCAAATACATAATTGCAATGCTAAAATATTTAATTTCTATCAGAATAACAGTGGATGTAAAATAAACAGATTAGATAGAGATAGGGTCCAATTACTTGGTAATGATCATTTGCCAAGGCACTGATCTTATTAGCCCAGAAAAACAGCACTTTTGCTGTCCATCTTTCTTTACACGTGCCAAAACCTGTCTAAAGTATCTAGGTTTTTGCGAAGTTTATCTTGTGTCCTGTTTCTAACTTATGTAACGCTACCACCGACCTATTCTCAAGTTTTTTCAGATCAACCAAGGATTTAAGAATTTTTTTAAAATATTGTTTGTGTTCCTTCAACCAAATATTCAACTGTCTAGATGTTTCTTTCACTTAATCTGCATAACAATCACGACAATTGATCTCATAGACAACATCCTGTTGATCTTCTTCATCATTCACCAATGCTAATTTTGTGGTATCACTGGCACGAAAATGCACTTATATTATGTTTGTATAGAATCCTCCTAACTTCTTCCAATGCTTTTCACAGTATGGGATGAGTACAGTGCTTTCCCATTAGTTCGGTATACACTCTGATTTAGTCTTTTTTTCATTTGTAAAAATTCACCTTAAAAACTCTTTGAAGTGATTGTTTGGTCTAAGTGTAGACAACATCAAATTCAGCCTGTTGGTCTTCTTTCTTTGTAATGAAATAACAACTCCTTTTGCAGTGAACAGAGCAGGAGTGGGGAGAATCGAATGTATGAGACACAAAATTACAGAACTTATTGATAAAATCTAACAATCGAATAGTAAATACGTAATTTGCAAAATGTCCACCAATTGTCTTCAAAATGACTCAGACTTCATTGTTCTTGCATTTTCATACAAGTTGCATTCTGTTTCCATTCTTTACTGTTCGATCCTTTTGTCTCTCTGCTGCCATACATTCTGTTCCTGATTAACGTCATATACTACTCATGTCAATATAAGTAACACACACCACACTTAATTAAATTATACTCATCGCTCAATATTTGTCAAAATATTCGTTAAAATGTTGACAAATATTCTCATAAAACCACATAGTTTTTTTCTACAAACGATAATGTTCAAATCGTAATTTAAACTGCCTTCCGTAATGTGTTCTTCAGTAAAAATTAGAAGAGATAGAATACAGTATAATAAAGAGAGAGGATGTGAATGTGAAGATTAACCAAACATTGAAAACTTTGAATTTTTTTTAAAAATATAATATCTGAATTATAAGATCTAGTATGAGTACATATTATCGATACTCAGAAGATTCACGGTAACATCTTTGTTTGTTATACGCGTTGAAAAATCAAGCCTAAGAAAACCACGAGCACTGTAAAAGTTCAGAAAAAAAACCTAGTTAGACAATCAGTCAGTAGCAATTTAGAACCTGTATTAAATGTGAATCGGTTCAAATGCCACAGAACAATAGCATAGCTATATAAAATTATCAAGATAAATATCGGATTAGTAGAAATTGCAGCCTTATTAGTAGTAGAAAACATCAGATAAAATATGATTCGAGAAGAAGAGATGAACTCACGAAAAGAAAAGGATAAAACAATTTTATATGTCAAGATCTAATGGGATATAAAGACTGAATATTTATGCCAACAGTCAATAACTACAGTGGTCGATGGCATAAACTATCACAGTGGAATAGAATAATATGATTTCAATATGTGTACTAAGGATAGGATTCAATCGGCGATGAGTGTATACATTGGGAAATCATTATATTTACTATTTCTCTCTTGTAGATTATTAAAAAAAAACTATTTCTGGGTGATAATCAGATAAAAATCATTCAAAAATTTATTTCTTTGATCTATATCAGTATAAGGCTTACTTCATAATTGCCATCGTTGGATAAAATTGATGACGGCTTATTAGATATGGATTCCCCATCTAAACGTCTATATCGAATCCAATAACGCAATGTTAAACCATTAGGTTGTATTGGAGGCCTCCATCTTAATTGTTTAACTGATATTTTAGCAGGAGAAGATAATTTTCCTGTTTTAATGTGATTATATTGTGAATTATTGACAAAAGTGAAATTAAACATTTGATTACATAGATTTGATTCTTGTTTCATTGATGATGATTCAGATGATAGACAATTATTATTAATATTTGTAATAAGATTTTCATCAATTAACTGAATGGAATTCGAATCAATATCGTCTACACCGATAGAAGCATCTGTACGTTGTTGAATAATACTTCGAGCACTGCACCATGGCATTTCCACAATAACATTGTAATTATTTTCATTGAAATAGGTTAAATTCTAAGAGGGTATAAAAAAGGAAATTTTGTAGTATTAATAATGATAATCTTTAATTTTGAGAGTAGAACAAATCCTTGAATAAACACAATGATTGAGAGGATAATTTATGATGAACTTTCATCAGGTACGTTACTAATAAACAATAAAAAATCATTTTTTATTGTTTGTTTGAATCTTTCCATTGATGTTTAGCACTGCAATTGATCATTCCCTTATTAGCATATATGCATCTTGTACAGATTGCCTCAATATTGCCTTAAATCACAAGCATTATAAGCAGAGATAGATGGTGGCTGGCAATCGAATCCAGGACGCGCGTTTCGTCCTATTTGGGATTTGTTGGCTGGATGTACATGCACCCCAGAGCTGACACTTACTCCGGGACTCCAACCCAGTACCATTGACTTCAAATACCATCGTCTGATCCACCTAGCTACTGGGTTCGAGTCCCGGAGTGAACATCAACTCTGGGATGTAGGTAAATCCAACCAAAGAATCCCAGATAGGATGAAATGCGAGTCCTGAGTTCCACTGCTAACCCCAATCCATCTTTGCTTGAAAGAAAAACTTTGCTGGAAAAAAAGTACTACAGTGACTATTAGGATGAAAATTTGTGAATCAATTGATTGTACGCTGTACATTGGTTGATATTTTGTGCGAATACAGTTTTCCGATGTTATCAAATCTAGAACTAGTTTCGTTTAGATTCCAGGGAATAGTATTTGAAAGTGATTTGATTGACCTATGTAATTAGACAAAACTAAGCTAGTCACTTAAATGCATCCACTATGAGATGCGTAACGTACTGAATGAAGTATGGCCGAGTTACAACATGGATTTATGCTTTAACTATTAGGTATATAAATTAGCTTTCCGAAGTAATTCACTCGATCGTTTTTTAGATAAACTTCAAATTAATTTATCGATGTTTTATCCAACCACTGATTATGCGTATCATATATATCTCCAAAAGTCACAAAGCAGCAAGTACACATTTAGAGTCCCATAACGATGATAACTTTGAATAACAAAGAAAAATTGGAATGGATTTTCAGATTGATGATAATAATGAAGCATCGATTATATGGAACAGCCATGCTTCTATGGAAAATTCATTTTTCGGTTACTTGAATATCACAGAGAAGATGGTATTATGTAATACCAATAACAAACTCGTGGTGCTGTGACAGAAAACATTTATATTATCATCTTTATACTAATATCTTTCTAATTCCAGACGAATTTTAACGCTTAGTTGTGAATACTGAGTGATAGATCAGTATGTTTTCACGAAACATGTCGGTAAATATATCAAACACTGACCAAACGAACATCTGGAACTAGTTATCGACCATTAATGTTCAGTTAACTGTACTCATAATATAGGTAAGTCAAAAATAAATAGCGCGGAAATGACTCGAATTCAGGTTGTCTTTTGTATACTACTAATCAAACATAAGAGATGAAGTTTGAATGTATAAACGATTTTTTGAGAGTATGGGATTTATTCTTTCTGTACAATCTGATGTTTCCTAGATTTTTCTCTTTGATTTTGGTTATAGTAAATATGCCAAAAACGATGAGATAAAGGGATAAACTGTGGCAGATGATATCAGTTTCACAAGTGCGAAATGATGAATGCTTACTACTGAGGAATCTTAAACACTAAGATGAGAAGACTGTCAATTGTTTTTTTTAAAATATTTTTCAACAGCTGCACCTAGCTGTTGTTAGTTCGAGTGATGTAACAATTAAATTTTTTTTGGTTATGTTGTGTTTCCTGGGATGAATAGTCTGATTTCAGAACTTTCATTCATCGCGCCTGGTCCACATAAAGAAGTCACTTTTTTAAACGATTCATAATACAAATTTTATATAATTCATAAAGTGCAATGACCAAAACCAAATTACTGATAACAGTAATAATACATGTGATGAGGTACTTAGTGTATTAAGGAAACAATTACATTTGTATTCAATGGTTCCCCATTGGTATCATGCGGTAAATGACATGCTGATATAACAAATAAATATTCTGTATAATGATGTAATCCACCAACAGATACACCTATAATATTACTGTTAATTGATTCAGAATTCTCAACAGTATTTGAATTGGCACTGATTCGTAAATGACCATCCCATTTAAGTGCATAATGATCGTAATCACGCTGTTCCATTTTACTGAAGTGCAAAGCTGAAATTCAAACGGTAAATATATTAAAATATATTAAAAATACGGAAAGACCGGAACAAACGATTATACTTGACAAAAAGATTAAATGAATGGTCAGAAACCCATACAACGATGTGGAGTAATGGAATTTAGTTATATAGAGAATTTAGAACCGAGCATAATTTTGCATTTAGATCAAGTTGCTAGTGTGGTAGGAGTATAAGTATAAAAGACGATTGAAGAAATGAATGAATGAAAACTGGGAATGAGAAGCATGAAATCAAAGAAAAACGTAGAATCTAGAGCATGAATAAGATTATGGAGAAGATTTGTAGTTCAGGTGGATGATTTTGATGGAGCTTTGTTCTCGGAGCTGGATAGTCTGGTCGTGGAGCCTTAACCGTTCTTTTAAACAACTTCTACCTGACGTTTGTACTGATGATGTCGTTCAAAAGAACAGTGAAAGTTCCGCGTTCAGACTATCCAGTTCAGAGAACAAAAATTCACCAAGAGAATGAATAAGTATAAGCTAGCGCGATTTATCACCAAAGCCATACTAACTATGTTCTCCAACCAAAATGCAGTTTGAAACTGGAGCTTCAAATATTTTCCAATAATCAGTTTGGTAACAAAGAGAAAATGTATATTGTTAATAATAATTCGGAAGCTGAAACACGAAATGAGTTTAAAATTTTAATATTTGATGCTCGGTATTACGACCCAAACATGTATCATTAGTACACATTTAATTAATGACACACATCAACTATTTGTTTAGTTGAATATTCAAGAAATGCGGCTAGCGTTAGCAATCGTTTGAGTGCTTTATCGATATGATTATTAAAAGAAACCATTGTCAGTGTTTATTGAATAAATAATACTGTTGGATGCCACCTCAGTGATTTGAAAGATAAGTATTCACTCGCGATATCGAAGGTCCTGAGTTCGATACCCGAATAGAGGGTCATGGATGTGTACTAGTGAGGAGTTTCTTAATAGAACAAAACAACCATCCAATTCTTTAAAGTTTACGAAGCTAGTCAAACCTAAGACTAGTTCATGATTTAAACTATGAAACCTCTAGAACATACACAAAGTCTTCTATATTAAAAATGATCGCTAAGACTGATAATCTTTCGGAAAAATTGAACATTCACAAAAGAAATACTCTGTCAAAATTTATTGAAGATGCTAAAAAATTCAACTGAAAACTTACAATTAAAATCATCAATTCTTATTCTTCTTTTTCCACGAATCTTTACAGGTGATTTTCTAAAAAGGAAATAAATGTAAAATATGAATTTTCAGAAATAAATAAATCAGATCACAATCACACTAAGAAAGTGTGTGAATATTAGGCAAAAATAAAAACAGTGAAATCAAACATAATAGATAACACGAACACTCCTTAAAGAGAGAACAACAAAAAGGATAAAGAGCAGAGAGTGAGCGAAATAAACAATGAACATGTATGATAATATTTAATGACGAGTCATGGAAGTAACTACAGTTCTAAAACTAAAAGGACCAGGTGAAGAATGTTAAATTCTTCTATATTAAACTGATGGAAAGTAAGCTGATAAACTGGTATAGTCTTTTAAAATTATTCTTAGATAGAATTCAACGTAGAATGATTTTAGGATTAGATTGATATATAAAACACATGACTTAGAGACAACAGAAAATACAAAGGTTTCAATTACCAAAAACCTGCGAGATGCATGTGTATTACAGTCTTAATAGCATTACTGAACAGCCGTAGGATGGTACATAAAGGAGTGCTACACAGTATACTCTACTCTTAATGGTTTATTAGATTGACTATAGTGTTTATAGCTGGTTTAAATCAATAAGTATGATCTGAGTCATACGGATATCCTCAATTTTATTCGTAGATCAATTGGTCGTGGGAGATTACACTCCTCACATCAGTAGAAAAACTACCATATTTAGCTGATATATACCAGTCATACTTGCTATCTTACTTTTGGCAATTCCTCACGATATTCACATCCTGTATGTCAGTTGTGAACACTGTCTACGTTAAATGGTCTACGAAACAGGGAATTAACCATAGAAATATAGGAGGAAGAACGTGTTACCATTTAAAAGTAAATCTTTGGTGAAGCTGACGAAGTAAGGCAACATAGCATGTCCTCGAAAGATACCATATTTAGGATAAAAAAATTCACAATTTCTTATCAGAATAATAGAATTTAAATAAAGTTTATAGAACAAACTTTGCTATTCGGTAGCTTCAGATAGGCAGTTTGTAAAATAGATTAGTAACATAATGAATAAAAGTCAACACAAAAGTTCAATGGATAAACTTGCATTCTCGGAAATAATAGTAAATTTTGTAAAGAATCTTCAAAACGAATCATATCAAGGCGTTCAACTCTCGTTGTTTTCTCATAATCCCATTATAATGATCAGTTATAGCAGTTTTTCTATTAAATATACTACTTTGACGTGTATTGAATCTTTGAAGGGTATTTCTATCCTTATCCGTATTCGACAGATGTACTGATGGATTAAAACAAAATGCAGCACAACTAGTGCATGAACATATTCCTTTGATAGTTTTAGAAACATATTCATGTGAATTTGAATTTTGATTATTTTTTACAATGTTTCCATGTGTAGTAGTTGATGAAGCGATTAAGTGAGATGAACGACCTATAAAAAAACAATTAACATCATAACAATTAAAAATAACTCCACCTGTAGCTCTTCTAGAGTTACTGCCGGTCCCAAGCCCGGATAAAGAAGGAGGGTCGGGCATAGAGTAAGCAAAATAACCCCGTACAAAACAACCTTACTAAAAAAGCACCAACCTGATTAAACAAATTAAACCATTTAAACTCTACCCTGGGAGTTGAAGGAAGAATTATGACGTCTCACGATGAAAGCCGAGATTCTTCAGAAGTCACGAGGCTGATGCCTTTTCTAACAACCAGAGCAACAATTTTTATAGGTACATGGAACGTCCAGACAAATTGGGAGACCGGGAAGACCAGTCAAATAGCAACGGAAATGAGGAGATACAACTTGGCAATACTGGGAATCAGCGAAACCTATTGGACCTAAGCTGGACAACAAAGGCTAGATACGGGAGAGATGCTGCTATACTGCGGTCACAAAGAGGAGAATGCTCCACACACTCAGGGAGTTGCTCTAATGCTGTTCAAAGTAGCACGAAATGCACTTGTAGGATGGTAATCTCACGGATCCAGAATCATTAAAGTATCATTCAAAACAAAGAAGGAGGGGATCACAATAAATATTATCCAAAGTTATGCATCCACAAACGATAGCAACGACGACAGTAAAAATCAATTTTATGACAGGCTGCAACTGATCATAGAGAAGTGTCCAAGAAAGGATCTCACCATCCTCATGGGAGACCTAAACGCCAAAGCCGGAATGGACAATACTAGATATGAAGACATGGCACGGCATAGACTGAATGGGAGAGTTGAACGAGAATGGTGATAGATTGGTAAATTTGTGTGCATTCAACGAATTGGTTATAGGTGACACAGTATTCCCACACAAAAGTATACGCAAAGCTAGACGGGTCTCACTAGGGTACACCATAGATAAAAAGATAAATTATATTTGCATCAGTGAGAAATTCAAAGGTTAATGGAAGAGGTGAGAACTAAGAGAGGAGTTGACAAAGCTTCAGATCACCACATGGTTGTGGCTAAGATGAAACGGAAGCTAAAGAAACACTGGACAATAGGAGAAACAGCATTATAAAGGTTCAATACAGCCAACCTTCGACATACTGACTAAACGGATTCAAGATAACTCTCAACAACAGGTTTCAAGCCTTAAAGGATCTACTCAAAGAAGAAGAAACTGCTATGGAGAGCAACTGGAAAGGGATCAAAGAAGCACCAAATTCAACGTGTCAGGAGGATCTGGGCCGCGAGAAGCATCATCATAAGGAATGGATCTCTACTGAAACCATGGACAAGATTCAAGAAAGCAAGAACAGGAAGACAGCAATTAACAACAGTCATACTAGAGCAAAGAAGGTCAAGTCACAAGCTGAATACACAGAAGCAAACAAGCAAGCGAAGAGGAACATAGAGCCGACAAGTAGAAATACATGGAAGAGCTATCAAAGATAGAAGAAAAGGTTGAAAGAGAAATAAATATGAGACAGTTATATGACACAATGAAGAAACTAGCAGGGAAATATTGTACACCAGAGAGACCTGTCAAGGACAAAGAAGGCAAACCAATCACTGAAATTAAAGAACAGAGGAACAGATGGGTTGAATACTTCGAGGAACTCTTGAAAGACCAGCACCATCGAATTCACTGAACATCGAAGCAGCACCTACGAACCTTCCTATAGATGTCACTCCACATACGACCAGAAAAATCAGGATGGCCATCAGACAAATCAAGAGCGGGAAAGCAGTAGGACCTGATAACATACCAACTGAAGCTCTGAAGTCACACATAGAAGTAAATACAAAAATGCTTCACATTCTATTCAAGAAGAATTGGGAAGGAGAACAAGTGCCGATGGATTGGGAAGAAGGACACCTTATCAAGACACCAAAGGAAGATCTGAACAAATGTGAGAACTACAGAGGCATCACACTACTGTCAGTACCATGAAAGTTTTCGAAAGTGTTGTTGAACCGGATGAAAGATTCAGTAGACGCCCAACTTCGAGATCAACGAGCTGGATCCCGTAGGCATAGGTCGTGCGCAGACCAAGTCACCATACTACGGATCACCATTGAACTGTAGAGGCTAATTTTCTCGGTATCTGACTACAATAAATAGTATCCTGTTAAGTGAGTATTTATGTAGGTTAAATCTCCTACTAGCATTATAAATTTGTTCGGCATCAACCAAAAGCTTGAACACCAGTCGTAGAGTAGTTTATTGTGAAAGGTTAGTAAAATCCGCAAGCGTACAGAAAGCAAGCACACAGGGAAACAAGATATATTTACGTGCTTACTACCAATGAGAGAATACATAAAGATCGATATACAGACACGCGCTCCATTAGACTCGTACATAATTATACATAGTGGATTAAATGTCTAAATCACAGCAAGTATACAAATAATAAAATAGATCAACGTGCTTACTACGAAACAATCATTTGAGTAGAACTCGTCATCATACATCAAATTCCTTAATTCTGAAAAAGCATTTGACAGTGTGAATAGATCATTATGGAAACGTCTTCTGCATTATGGTGTACCTTAAAAAATCGTCAACATCATATGAAATCCATACGACGGACTACACTGCAACGTCGCGCATGGAGGACAATTGACAGACACATTCAAGTAAGAACCGGAGTCAGGCAAGACTGCCTATTCTCCCTCTCTCTCTTTCTTCTGGTGGTCGACTAGATTATGAAAATCTCTACATCTGAGAGATAACACGGAATACAATGAACAGCTTGAAATCAATTAGAAGATTTGAACTTCTCAGATGACCTGGCTACTCTATTCCATACACACAAACAAATGCAGATGAAGACAACTAGTGTAGAAGCAGCTTCTACATCAGTAGGCTTCAACATACACAAAGGAAGAAGCAAGATCCTCATATACAACACGGTGAACACCAACACAATTACACGTGACGGATAAGCTCATGAATATGTGGAATCCTTAATGCATCATCGATGAATAAGGAAGATCTGGTGCAGACATAAAGGTGAGGATTGGCAGTTCAATAACAAATGGAACTCAAAACAACTGTCAACCAACATCAAAGTGAGAATCTTCAATACGAACGTCAAAACAGTTCTACTGTATGGAGCTGAAACTTGGAGAACTACTGCAACCATCATCAAAAAGATAGAATTATTTATAAACAGTTGTTTACGGATGATACTAAATACCCGTTGACCGGATAACATGAGCAACAGCTTATTGTGAGAGAGGACAAACCAGCTTCCATCTGGAGAGGAAATTAGGAAAATATGTTGGAAGTGGATAGAACATACTATGAGGAAATCACCAAACTGCATTACGAAGCAATGGCTAACTTGGAATGGTGAGGGTAGACGGAAAAGAGTAAGACTAAAGAACACATTGCACCGATAATTGGAAGCAGACATGAAAAGAATGAATAGTATGTGAAAAGAATTGCCCAGGACAGAGTTGAATGGAGATTGCTGTTGGGCTGTCTATGATCCTCCACGAGGAGTAGCAGGCGTAAGTAAGTAACAATTAAATATATCTGATATTTTGACTATAACTAACTTTGTTTACCAAATAAACATACGATTCGTATATAAGGACTTATCGAGATTGTAGAATTTTAATAGGTTAAGCCACGAATTGGTGATAGCTAGACTACCAATACAAATCTGGAAGTACTGGTAGGCCGCTTCATCCTAGTGTGCAACACCTCAGCAACGCGGATCCATAACCAAAAAGCTGGAAACAGAACCTATGAACTTCGGTCTAGCAATTTGATGCAAACATATAAACCAGACCATTGAGACAGTATCCAATGGTGAACAACTCTAAATTAAATTAATCCACGATATTGCGCAACCATCCTAGATTGTCTTTAGTGGGTGTCTTTCGCATTCCCGACACGGATAAGCTTGACTGGTCACGGTTCCTTCATGGGACTGGAGATTTCCTCTCAACGTTGGTCACTAGTGAGCGCATAGGATAATAAAAAATTCACGGAGTTTAGTGTGGAGCCGTAACCAACGGGTAGTGCAAACGTTTTTTAAAAAATATACTTTCACTCTCATCTATTGAACTCCTCTTCTGACAGATATCTTATAGTTGATTCGGAATGTACAAACGACGCTAAGAACAAAGCGAAAGCAAGATGGCCTTTAAACATAAGCTGATGATATAAAAATACTTGGACTACATCCAATTTAGGTGAATGGATTCTGTTGGCTTATGTGAGCCAAAGACATTTTGACATAAGACTATTGAAGTCCATTGGGGACTTAAGATAGAAGTAAGCTGTGTTATATTTTTCATGACTGTTGGACACGCCTACTAATGATATGCGAAGAATTCAAGTTCTGAATCATAATCGTCTCAAAAAACTTCCAATGATCGTGATTACACAAATTTTGAACGATAAGTTTGTGGATCCATGTGAACGAAAAAGACTATTATATTTGTCACATATGTGCAAAACATCCTAGCTATGTAAGTGTCGAAAAAATAATCAAGGACAAAAAACTCAAGAGTGGTTATACATCATGACATATCATTTAATTCATAAAGAAATTTTTATGCTAATATGTGAAAAATAAAAGACTTTTGGCTTTGATACAAAATGTGATGGATATTGGTAGTTGTAAATGTTGAATAATATTACCGAAAATAGGCTACAACTGTGAAACAGAGAGATTTCCTCATCCCCTTCTACTACCAAATCCTTTAAGCTCACTGTTCAATAATTCGTTCCTTTTGATTACTTTTATGTAGTAGTATTTGTAAATACAGTAATTAGAATCAATAGTTAATCGCTTTAAATTCAAAGATTTCTTTTTTCCTTGTAAATAAAATAACCGGAAGATACAGGATTTAAGGATATATTGTTCAAAGATGAAGATAACCATTATTCATGGTTGTCTGGAATTTAGAAATTTGAAAGTAAATGTTTTGAAAAGTCAATTACTGCTATCCTCTTTACCAGTAAGCCTACAAACACTAAACACTAGTGATCATGAAGATGTATTACACACCGTTTACTTAGGAAGTTAGTAACAAACTTCTTACACAGTAATATTGATTAAGATAAAGTCGATTTTAAGTAGTGCAAAGTATATAAAACTAAAGTAGGTATTAATATAAACAAATTATTTTAAAGAAATATTGATTCAATTTACCATCTGTACAAGAAATATCATTATCAAAGGATGAAATATTTACAAATAAACGTCTATACCAAAGATGATATTCTACAATTTGACCGTTTGGATTATCTGGAGCATTCCAATACAATTGTATTTTATTTGAATTTAATGAAAAAGCATGAAAATCAATTGGACTGCTAGGTTCTATGAAATGAATAAAAATAAGAACGATTAGGTGAAACATTTATTAAGTTTCTTACTACTGAAATTATCGAGTTATTTTATGTAGGAGAAAAAAAACTAACGAATGTAGTACAACTTGAAGACTATGAAGATGATAATTTAACAAAGCTTTATCACCATGATGATAAAGCGCGTTATGAGGAGGAGTTAACTTAGTATTGATTTATTCAGATGCTCAAAATATAAAAAAAACGGATCATAGTATAAACGATCGTAGAAAGTGGATTGAATAAAAAATTGTCAATTTAAGAAAAATCAAGTCTACCAATGAAGAAACGACTCTACAACGCAGCAGTACACTGTGTTTCATTTACAGCTGTCAAATGCAGTTTTTTCAAAGAAGAGTGTAGTCCTAGGTCACTAGTATTCCATCACAGGTGTTTTTAAAGCATTGTTCGCGTATGTTGGGATCATCGAGTGAAAAACGTTGAAGTTAGATGCAGAAGATCAGGCAAAGTTGTGAAATCGGTTGATGAGACTATCACTCGCGATAAATTAAGTAAGACAGGACATTAGCTACATATTTCTAACCACCACCCGCCTTTACAAGTAATGTTGCCTAGTGTGTTAGTATGAACAGGTTCGAAGAAAATTGAGGGAGGTCAATCTAAAAAGAGGCATCAGTCCACAGTATTATTAAACTGAGGGATATTGGTAAATGTCTGCTCTCTAGTTTGTGTCAGAATGATTATCATAACAAATAGTTGAACAAGTTGAGTGATATGACATAAAAAATGCTTATTTACTATCCAACTATCAGTTGGTTAAAGGATTGATTCCTTTTCAACGAGGTAAGCATATTTTTGTTTGATGAATTATTTGTTCAGTAATTCCATGAGCATGTTTAAATTTCTGAATAATTTCTTTGTTTCATCAATCGAAAAATAGTTCATTTAGAAATGCAAATGTTCCAATTTTCCTGTTATCGATATTAAGGACTGCATTTGATTAGACTTAACAGCTCAATGAATAGCTCATTGATATTGAAAGTGAAAAGTACAGAATTCGAGTCTTAATATGAAAATCGATACTAGGAAGTGACAAGTATGTACAATGACGAGTTTCAAATAGAAATAAAGATGAGTCGCGGATTTCATTGTTAGCTATAATACAAATTTATTAACTGTTCATATAGCATTAAATGAGGGAAGTGAAACTGATTAGTTATTATAAAGTGTAAACAGGTACGTAAGATACCAATAACTGATAGAAAGGAAAATTTGGATCAAAAGACAGGTTTCATGGCTTAAATAACGAAGTATTCTGACTAACAATTAATGGCACCATTTATCATAAATGCAGGAAAATTACTACTTAGTCTTAAATAATTACAGATATGAATAAATTTTCATCTACTTACTGTCTTGTTTTGTTTGAAAGGTAAATACTTGACTAAGTGCTCCCTCTGAATTAAACATTGTACGTATTTCAACATAGGCCTGATAACGCTGTGCCGGATTCAAATAATTTACTTCACATTGAAGTTTTAAACTGCTAGATTGTATTTCATGAATTAAATAGGAATTTCTCGTAGGTTCTATTATTTTTTGACATTTGGGTTCATGTATATGCCAACTATAGATTTAAGAAACATAAAGAGATCAATGAATATCTCTAGAACATGGTCACAATAAAATAAAATTAAAACAATCTGAAAGCTACACAAATAACGAAAACAATTCAAAATATAAATAAAAACTCCACTATATCAAAATAATTAAATAACAGAAGTAGTCGAGAAGTTCGTGTATCTAGGTAGCTGCATAAGTGCTGGTGGTGGCGTGAGTGATGAAATTAATTCACGTATGGTGAAAGTGAGAGAGACTTATGCCAATCTGAGCCATCTTTGGCGCCTTAGTGATGTCAGTCTGGCTGTAAAAGGTCGGGTCTACAACGCATCGGTGAGAGCAGTTCTGCTATATGCTTGTGAGATCTGGCCTCTCCGAGTTGAGGATGTTAGACGACTCTTTATGCTTGATCATCGTTGTCTCCGAAGAATTGCTGACATCCAGTGGCAACACCATATTAGTAATGCAGAGGTTCAGCATCGTGTGTTCGGGTGCAGGGGCGATATTTCAATTGGTGTCACTATCTTGAAACATCAACTTAGGTTCTACGAATGTCGTCTCAGAGAATTCCACGTCGTGCATTATTTGCCGATGCTGGGACTGGTTGGAAAAAGCAGAGAGGTGGTCAGTGTGTGACATGGTGTCGTGGTATCAAAGAAAGCTGCAAAGGACTGGCTTCTGTTGGTCCTTCACGACTCCCTGGTTGGGGTCTGAGAGATGGTGCTACACAGTGGCTAGAGACGTCATCAGATATGACTCAGATAGAAGCCAGTGGCGATCCTGCTGTAACCTTCTTTTGCTTCCTTCATAAAAAGTGGCTGTAAGTTCTTTAAATCGAAGAATTCTTTCCGGTTGTACCTTTCTGTTTCTTTCATTATTATTGTTGTTTCACTACCATACACTAATTTTTGGTCGTTACTGTCCTTTTTTTACGCACCTTACATTCTTTATCTCTTCCCATTCTCATTGTTATTGTGTGGCGCATATGTATCTGGTGCCCCCTGTACCAATATTTATGTGTTCAAATGAATAAATATAAATAAATAAATCTACTAACCCTAACAAGTTTTATTGTTGTGTATGCCACTCATGTAGCTGCTGGCTTTTACTCTAAATGATGTCACTGTGTTGCATTATCTCTCAGACTACAACCAGAGGTCGGGAACGGCTGACAGATGCCAGTCCAGTATAGGTTTACTGTTGTGGATGCGGAAGAATAGACCAATAATTATCATGTTAAGTCCAGTGGTGTCCTTGGACTTTAAATGGATATTTCCTATCGGTCGATATCTGTTCACTTGTTGAATATTGTACAAAATGTTGTTTTCTATTTTATGGTACGATGTGGTATGCTTGATTGGTATATAAACAAAGTATGTTTGAAATATAATGATTCATATCTCCGAGGCTGTGACTTGTGTTTTGGACTCAACTGACTGGGCTAGACAGACAGCGAAGCAGGGCTAATCAGGGCACTAGGTCGTCCACTACGTGTAACCGTGTCACTGTAATCGATCGATATAAACACTGCTTATCAAAACCTGCAGTCTCACACCGTTATAACAATTGGCGACGGGGTGGAGAAAAATTTTGAACCTTGTAATTGGACGAGATTCAGGTTAATTGTTTCGACCAATCAGCATCCAGATTGTCACCAGCGTCCTTGAGCAACATTGGTCATTATTCCTACAGTTAATTTTCATTGCAGGTGCTGAAAAAAAATGACTACCTTTTCCGATCGATTACAGCTTCTACTTGAGCAACAACAGCAGTGCTTCAAAAATAGCCAGTTAAATTTTTTAGAAAATTTACGCACACTGTTGGTAAATGTTCCATGTTTCGGAGGTGCAACAGAAGTTGGTAAATTCATTTCTCATCTGCAGACTGAGCTGGAAAACAACTGCAGAACATATGAAGCTGTTTATAAAAGCCTCTGTGAATCCCGGACGACCAGTGATGTAAACGAGACAGTTATTCATGGTCCGCCCAGTTGTCCAGAAATGTCAAATTCCGAAACGTTCCCTGTCGTGGGTTCAAATCCCACTGTTCCTGAAACGTGTACAGACAGTGATGTACCCAGCTCACAGGAGGATCTCTTATTAAATGCTCATAAATTAATTGCAGTACCCGCCCACAACGGAACAGGGAACAAATCGTGCGGTACACTGAATCCAGCTGTTTCAAATGGTCCTCATCATTCAACAACAGGAGATTCTGACGAATCTTATTATCTAGATCTTTTTGTACCAGAAAATGTGTTAAATGCATTAAATGATGATCAGAAATCTAATACAATTTTGATAGATGTTGATTATCGCAGTGATCAACTGTTTACAAATGAGATTTTCAACAAATCCCGTGACAATGTTCCAGAAGAATCAAACGTTGGTGACCTCATATCAAGCGACATTGTTCCCCACTATTTAATCACTTTCAGTGACTCCCTGTTCAATCTGACAATTATGTGTTAAATAAAGTCAAATTAATTCTAACTTGGGAATATGAGGACCCAACATTATTTCGTGGGGGAGGATGAACCCAGAAAATTTCAAAATCCGGATATCAACTCCGGATCTTCAAAAAAAAGGGGAGGTGTTGTGGATGCGGAAGAATAGACCAATAATTATCATGTTAAGTCCAGTGGTGTCCTTGGACTTTAAATGGATATTTCCTATTGGTCGATATCTGTTCACTTGTTGAATATTGTACAAAATGTTGTTTTCTATTTTATGGTACGATGTGGTATGCTTGATTGGTATATAAACAAAGTATGTTTGAAATATAACGATTCATATCTCAGAGGTTGTGACTTGTGTTCTGGACTCAACTGGCTGGGCTAGACAGGGAAGCAGGAACAATCAGAACTGTAGGCCGTTCGTGCGTGTTTTACGTGTCATTGTAATCGGTCGATAAGTGCGCTGCTCTCTAATTTTCCAGTCAAGGACACAACAATTAGCACAGGGTAAAAGTCGACAGCAACTTAAATTCATAACATCTACTTCATACCACGGCACCATATCATAAACTGACCAACTCTTCATTTTTTCAAACCAGTCTCAGTGACGGCAAATAATGCACGATGTGGACTTCCCTGTGACAGCATTCGTAGTACATAACAAAGCCACCAAGGTCGATGTTTCAAGGTAGTCACACCAACTGAATTATTGTTGCTGTGTCTGGACACATGTTGCTGAACATTCGGATAACTGACAGTGTTACTACTGAACACCAGCAACCTTCTGTAGACAACAATCTTTAAACATATAGTCACATAACATCCCCAACTCGGAGGTCAGGTTTTGCGGACATAATGCGACATTGCCTTCAACAACGCCTTGTAAACACGACTTTTTATAGCCAGACTAACATCATAAAGATGCTAAAGATGGCTCAGACTGGCATAAGTTGCTCTCCATTTCACTACAGGTAAATCGATTTTATAACTTCAACACCACGACCAATTACATAAATGTTCAAATACGCAAATTTTTCTACTACTTCTAATTGCTTACTGAATACATAAGACACACGAATTATAATATATTCGTCTCTCATTTTTCAAAGGATAAAGGAAGGAAATAATGTAAACAGATTCAGTGTTCCGATTAGAGTTTTCCAGTATTAAGCATCGTGCAATAGTGTGAAAACTTTTTACAATGACAAATAAGTACATATATTTGGTAATTACTCAGAGCAAATCTACAAAAGAGGAGTTAATTACAATACTTGCACATTGGGAAATTAAGCCAAGTATTTGAGTAAACTGCTAATAGTAACGAGGACAGGGTTAAAATAAGTACCTATTAGAAAGATAACGTTAAATTTATATCAATGGAGTGTTCTGTGATCACAGAGAGGATATATATTTATATACATGGCAGCCACTTGAAGATAAACCATTGTGAAGAGTACGCATTTCAAGACTTTTTTGGTGAATTTTATCAAGCAAAGTAGAAAATCAAATTGCACAATTGAAAAACACAGAACTTTAAGGGTACATTATTATTATTATCATCATTATTATTGATTCATTGATTTTATTTATTTACAATCGTTTTATTCTTCCCTCAACAGGTTACTTTTCTTGGAATAAGATCTCGTACATTATCATCCAAATCTATTCATTTGTGATTAATGCTGATTAATTTTGTATTGAAACTTTGTGAATATGGTGAAAAATTAATGATATTGATCATATGAACGAATGAAATCATTAAAATTTCACAACAAACTAGATGGTGTAAGGATAGATTATTATTTTATTTCAACACATAGATAATGGTACAAAGAGGCACCAAATGCATATGCGCCACACAAATCTCATTCGATATGTGTGAGGGCTGTGATACTGCTCGGGTGCCAAAACTGAAGCAGGTGGTTTTCTTAGGGGGCCACTCCTCGAGCCTTCGACCTGAAGGTCTGATCCACAAGGCAGTGGAGCATCGTAAGGAGATGCAGTCCCATGGAAGCCGGTGGCCAAAAATTGGTCATACGCCATTTGTTCCTTCAGGATACTGGAGCCCATGTGCACCATTGGTTTGAAATCCGGTTAAAGCGCCAGACATTCGCTTTTCGTCCTCTCATTTTCGTAAACAACACCCCCCGCCACGAGAAGGCAGTGAGTAGGACTTCCCTGGCAGAAGCTATATACGCGTGGCCATGTGAGAGCATTTCGAGAGGGAGAGCGGACTCTCTCCACTCTCGGCCGTACCAGGGCATTTGGAGGCGTAAGGATAGAAGCAGGGTTTTCATGTTTCGTATTGATCATGATTATATGATGTACACATACTTTTACACAAGAAGATCAATATAAATATACTGAGAAGAGTTTGGAATAATTCAAACTTAATATGATTACGTAAATTATCAAGTTTGATAAACTTATCAACTAAAATGTCCAGTAATTAAATAGCTGTTTATGTTTAGTAGTTAAAACATTCGCTTTCAATCACAGGTTTTCAGGCTCGACCTGTAAGCAACTGATATGTGACAGTGAATTATCCTAAACGAATGCTCATGAATATCATTTATACGAAAATCTAGTTCCAGATATTTTTAAATACTGAGATGATTATTTATTATTTAAACACAAATATTGGTACAAGGAGGCATCAAATATATATGCACCACATTTCGTCATTCAATTTGTGTATGCGATGGATACTGCTCGTGTGCCCGAACCGAGGCAGGTGGTTTTCTTGGGAGGCCACTTCCCGAGCCCTTGACCTATAGGTTTCATCAATAATACAGTGGAGTAACGTTAGTAGATGAAGTCTCATAGTAGCCCGAGGCCGAAAATAGGTTCATACGCCAATCGTTCTCACAGGGTCCTGGAGCCCATTTGCACTATTAGTTTGAAATCAGAGCTTTCCCACTCCGTTAAGTGGGTCCTTTATATCCACCAACTTGGTTGAAGCGCCGGACATTCGCTTTTCGTCCTCTCAATTTCCTAAACAACGGCCGTACTGCGAGAAGGCAATGAGTAGGATTTCTCTGGCAGTGGCTGTATACGTGTGGTTATGTTAAAGCATTTCGAGAGGTAGAGCGAACTCTCCCCACCTTGGCCGTACCTGAGCATTTGGAGATGTTAATAATAAATCATTCAAAGAGACTTATTAAAGTGTTTTGAAAACGTTTAATACAACAGCGAAGCAAAAATCTTTATATTTAGACTAAGTTGTTAACTTCATAAATGGGTAATAGATGAAGAAGTATTGAAAACTAAGAAACATTGAGCCATCGTTTCAAGTAAATCCAAGACCGATGAGTCCACCTTGCAATATCATAGTAACATACTTTCATACTATTGAGCAGGATCTAGTAGTTCACAGTTTTAAATCTAGTCAATCTCTAACACATGGCTTTATGCTTTTAATATGTTTGATTTCGTGAATAGTCATTTATGCGCAAATTTTCAAGAGATGAGGATACAATCGAAAAATTCATACGCCTAATGTTGTTGGTTTACGATGATTTCCCAGTAGGTATTAATTCGTAACAACTATTTTCATAATTTAATTTGTGAGGGTTTCGATTGTCCAGTTATCAATAGTTGGACTAGATTTTAATCAGTCTTAGTTGGGATGTGTACATCCTGTATGGATTGCCTTTATGCAGACTTTATATCACAAATAGGACAAAATTCACGACCTGGATTCTGCTGCTAGCCATATGACATCTATTTAAGATCTTCACAGTATAAAAATTTCCACAAAACACTTGAATTAGATAATTTAATGTAAACTATATCAGTTGAACCATTCTAATTTATGTAACAGCTTTAAAAATGTGCACGATGAATGTTGTATTGTAGATACTGTTTAATTTTAGTATATTAGAATTCAAGAAGACTATGCAAGTTTCATAATGTGATTACTTAATAATTTCTTAGACACCACCTTTAAATGAAATAATAAGTATTTTTTGTATGATACAATTCATTACTGACTCCGCCTGTAGCTCTTCTAAAGTTACTGCCGATTCCAAGCCCAGATAAAGGAGGAGGGTTGGGCATGGGGTCGGCAACCCCATCCTGTAGAAAAAAACCCTGCCAATAAACGCCAACCTGACTAAACAAACTAAACCATTTAAACTCTGCCTTGGGAGTCGAAGGAAGAATTATGACGCCTCAGGATGAAAGCTGAGATTCTTCAGAAGTCACAAGGCTGATGCTTCTTCTATCAGCCAAAGCGATAATTTTTATAGGTACAATTTATTACCGGTGACAATTTTCTTTGTCATTTCAATAATTTATTTGGTATAAGAAATATTTTAAATAAATTTTCTTATCAGAGGAGATTTGTTAGGTAGTTTTATGTGAAACTTTTAAGCATTATATGAATGCACTTGTGTGTGTGCAGGGATGTTTACAAGCAATTAGGTAATATTGGTGTAATTTTATGTTGTTTTCTTTTGCAGAAAAAGGGTTAGACAAGTCAAGGTTCAATTGATGTAAGAAGAAAATCATAGACAGGTCAACTTACGACTTATCACAGATTGTTTCAATGTTTGATTCCGGTTCATCCAGTCCACTGGTAAAACATAAGACACAGAAAAAAAAAAACAGAAATTCAAATATGAAAAAAATTATTAGGTTTTGTTTAAATAAAGCTTTACCATCATCTGTTTGGTATTATCTACAAAAGAAAATTGAAAATACCAGGAGAAATAGTTGGGACTAGTCGATATCAGCTACAATGAAAGTGACAATAATTATTATCGATGTTATAGGAAGACGTTCGTTGTGTCAATTTTTTACTAACTGATCAGTGTAGGAAATGTGGATGTAATGGGATGTAAGATACTCACTTCAACTTCCCAACTGAAAATAAATATGATTTTCCAAGTATGCCTTAACTTTGAATGATTCTTTAACGGAGATGTCCGCCCATTGAAAAAACCTAATGCAAATGATTACTTTTTTAAAATAATAATTTAATACGCCTATGTTGTAACCGTGCCTAACGATAATAAGATTAGAGTAAGATAAATAAATGTTGATTTAATAAACCATAAAAATTATAGATGAGCATAATTACAATAACTTTCATATGTTGATTACATAACAAATCAAACAATACATTCATTATTTGTAATCCATGTCTGAGTAGAAAGAAATAGTAAGTAAATAAAGTATGTAAGCCATTTTTTTAAAAGTTTGTGTTATGAGCGGCGTCCGATATCGGATACTGAAGCACAACCTGTTACACACTATATATAAAGGATAATTAACTTGAAATACATAATAACTAAGTACTAAGTAGCTTTTGTAAGAGAATAAAATGAACATGAACTTATGGCTTACATATATCTATAGTAAACAGTTGTAGGTAGTACTTGACGAAAGTCATTCCATGCTGGGGTATTGGTAATAGTAAATGATACAGAACGTTGATGAACATAATTTATAGACAAATTAAGTCTATGAGTTCGACCTTAGGTAATGAAAATAATAATAATAGCGATGATAATGGTAATAATAATATCTAAAAAGCGAAAACAGTTAGCAGATGAAATGTAAATTTTAGAAATAAAGTACGATACACGGTAACGACTTAACGGTTAAAATAAAAATTTCAACTGTTGGGTGGAAGGTTCAAATCTCCGACCAACATCATACGATTTTTGAGCAGTGAGGAAGTATTACTAAAGCTTACCTCAAAAACGTCAACATACCCAACTAATTCATTCCTCATGAACAGCTTGAGTGTCGACTTAAGATGATCTTGAAACAATATGTTATGTTTAAAAATAGATATATGAATTTCAAAAACTCTTCAATTATTGATGAAGGTGATCAGAAGATCCTAGCATTTATCTAAATCTTCCCCAAACAAAAATATGTTATCTACATATTCTAAATTAACCAATGAATTACTAAAAACAAGATCAATTCTTTAGAGTTAAATGTAATTTCTAAAATAATGTAAATGATTAGTTTACAACAAAAGTGGGCAGTAGACAATCCTGAAGAATACTAATTGAAGTACTTAGATTCAGATGGTAGTTCTTCATAAGCTCTGGTTCGAAAAAGTGGTAGAAAAAATAGACTTCACAAGGTTCATATACTCCTAGAGCCAGTAATCGACACCAAGGTCTCTGACAGTCTGAAACAGCTAAACAAATTTGTTAACTCGATAATTGTTTATTCCTCTGTTCAATATGACATAACATATATTTCCAGTTATTTCGTAAATGCATCCACAATAATCAAATACATTTGTTCTTGTATTGGACTAGGCTTAGACCACGACTGTGGTTTATTCTTCAGAGGTTTGTTTGTCTGTTAACCTGAATTCGCCTTAAGACGATCACATCTGAACGCAATTACTCGGTAAAGCAGAACATCCCTCCAGTATTGCTTTATATGAATCGACGAGTAAATACTAGAGAACACTGAATCTAAAACTTGATACACCGATATTCGAAAACACCAGTCGTTACCCGCAGCTTTTATCACGGAGTTCCTTGTGCTGGAACCTTGTTACTCTTTTCGCTTCACTACGCGAACATGCGGGCATGTGGGCATCCGAAGTTTTCTTGTTTGGGAAAAAGTTAAGTCATACCACGAGAGGAATTGATGGGGGCTTTAGAATAAAACGTATATTATTACTTTACTTTTTTTCTTTACGATTTGAGGCTTAACTGCAGAAGAATTTTATAAGACGCGAGTGGAAGACTTAACATCCTAACAGTTTGTGGGTAATCTTGACAGTCTGCAAACCTTTGGAACTGTGCTCAATTTGATGAGAGAATAAGTAACAATCTAGTCAGAATGTGACATAATTCGCCATTTAAAAGTTTCTAGGGTGTTTCTATTGAATATTGACTCGATGGAATGTTCTCTGACATTTTCTGGCTTCTGAAGACTTCTCGAAGAATTTTCAGAGATCCTAATAGATATGGTGGGGTAGATTGAGCCGATACCCATATATGCCAGGTCCTATGTTGTTTATTACTGAGTGACTTATTTCACACGTATCAACGTCAGTTGTATTCTTAAGTTATGAATTACGTGTTTACGCGTATTGATAAAATTTAGTCGGACTACACTTTGAACTGAAATTATTTTCTATGAACGTAATAGTGTCGTACTAATTATCATTTTCATAGTATTATATTCTACGTACTTTTGAACATAAGTTATTGTAGCTTCAGTTTTACAACAATATCATTAAAAAATCACAAATTAGAAATACCTATCACACTTTTATGCTAAAAGAAAACTTACACAATCCAATAGCCCCATTTGATTTGTCAATTAAATCAGACTCCAAATTCGACAAATTACGTGACAAGTTAACATTAGAGTGAATAAATGTTTTTACATTTTCTGGACATAAATTACGATTTAAAGTAAACACTACTCGTCCGCGTTTAATAATTAAATTTGTAGTAACTGGAATCCATAAACTCTTCAGTTGACTATTCCAAGCAATTTCTAACACAGTTCTATACATGTCAAGGGGAAAATTAAAAACTAACTGATAATAAAAGGGAGCATGCATTCTTATACAGTAGAAGCCTATATATATATATATATATATATATATATATATATATATATATATATATATATATATGAGTATTTTAAACTTCAATGTCGTAATCCATTTCAAGGTGTAAGAAAATTGAAACTATTTAATGTTAACATCAAATTCTTTAAGCAAAGGGTTGTGGAGATTGTTGAAATTTATTGAACTCATGCATCCATATAAGTCAGACCACCAATGAAGACTTGGAAGGACTGGAAAGTCGTTTCGTTCTAGTATGAGACTCCTCAGCGGCGAGCATCCATCCGTTGGACACTAATTTAATGGTCTAGGGTTTGAGCGTTTGCGCACGTGACCGAAGGTTCAGGGTTCGAGTTCTGTGTGCAGGATCATGGATGCGTGCTTTTGAGGAGTATCATACTAGGACAAAATGGCCACCCCGTGCTTCTAGGTTTCTAGTGGTGGTCTAACTTAGATAGGCCTATAATTTCAATGAAAATTAGATTCTTTGCTTGTGAAACCCATACATATGAGCATATAAATTACAGAAGAATGAGCATACTCGAAAAGTTTGTGCACAGCATTGTCACCAAACAATGTTTCAAATCCAAGCCGTCCAACTACAGAGTGGTTGATCTAAATATCATCAGTTTTTTATTTTTCTCTGCTTAATTATAGTTACTTCAATTGTCATACAATGCGAAACGGAACGTGTCAGTGATTTAAATATCACTGATATACACGAACAACAGTCGATAAATGAAAGTAATGAAGTGAGATATGAAGTTCTGCAAATATTTCTATTAGTAAGACAACCATCTTTAAATGCCACATTGTCATAATTGAAGGGAGTATTTCGTCATATCCCGCTTTCAGATACAGTACAAAATGTACAACAAAGTTATGTGCAAAAAACTCAACAAAAAACCGATGATATTCTAAGATGTAAGAGATTCATTGTTTAAAGTGTTTGTATGAACATTACAAATGTCTAGCATATATGATTTAGGTCAACACATATATGTTGTATATCTTACTAACTCTGACTAAGGTAGGAGTTAGACAAAAAGTGAAAAATGCATGGAAGTAATGGCCAAGCTCAGTTTATACTGTAAGGTAGGAACATAAGACAAGGTACTCCAACGTAATATGCTGAAAATTATAATTATGTGGATTTTCGATCTTACATCATTTTGTTTGCTACCTGTTTTATTATTCCACAAGTACAAAGTCAATTCATTTTGACGACCTTGTTTGTAAATGATTATCTACACAGCCTTTTTCATTTTTATTTATCATTTGCACTCTGATTAAATGTCTTTGTTAGACTGACTTCGGGCCGTTTAACACACTGATTTTGTACGTGTAGGTTGATAAATTTGTTATTTTTCGATAAGGTTGATCTGAATGCCATGTTTCTAGCAAGTTGAAATAAACGCTCAATATGTCCAATGAATGAAAGCTTCGTAAATAAACCACTAAGATAAGAAAACGCGCCACTGGCAAAAAAAAGCCCACCAAACCTACATTAGTATATATAGCTAGACTTTAAAGAATAGATCGGCATTCATAGTCTATTACTTTAAAAAGGACCCCGACCGTTGTTGCTACCTTGACGTGGTGGTCGGGCTTGCCTATCGTGATGAAGCAACCGAGCTATACTGACTGGAACAACTGTTCCTCAAGGTCCTACCATGTCAGACAGGTCAGTTGAAGAGCGGTAAGACTATAAGCAACAAACCCAAGGTCCGAAACGAAGTCGTACTGCTGACTGTACAGAGGTGTGACAGCAGTAAGGTGTTTCCTTCAGACAACCAGCATGACAGCGATGCTGCCTTCCTACAAGGAGGGGTGGGGTTAGAAAAGTTCGACCCTAAAAATGCACACCTCGCCTTATCCCACGGATATCCGTCTCCGGCGGTAAGGTTTCAACAAGTACGGAGCTAACACAAAAATTATCCACAAAAAGGTCGTGTGTGACCGACTTCAAACAGTTGTCCCTTGGGCACTGCGGTCACACTCCCAGGTCACTAAGACCACCTCTAATCCAATTTCCTTTTCAGGTACCTCCAGAGGAACCCTTCCACGGTGTGGGCAACCGGGAAGTGATAACCGCCCTCATACCTCTAACAGCACTCAAGACTTAAAAAGGACAAGAATATTATTTGTTTTTAATGAAATGCTTTCATAAGATATTCTCCTTTACATGCTAGCACTCGGTTGGATCAAAACACATCACTAGTCGATAGATGATTATGACTGAACTAATAAAATTCCACGGTTGTGATATTTGCACATATTAAGATTTATGCATACTTCCTGATAAGATTAAGAAAACAGAACGAATATTTTCAAACTATTTACCAAATAATTATAACAGAATAAAATTGAAACGAATGAACAATTTTCCACATACTTAATTGGACCGTTAGGAACACTTCCATCACGATTTAATCCATGTATGATTCGTAAAGACCGAAGAAATGTTAATGACTGCAAAGAATCAGAACTTATTACATGTAGACTAGTATAGATTTCTTCCAGGTTTGAGAATGCATCCATAAATTTTGAAGTATCACCATCTAAGATATTTTTTAAGTAATTTAAAATAAAATTAAAGTAAATTAAACGGTATAACGTTTAAAAATCTTGTAGTTAGATTTCACTTATATTATGGGGATGAATAAAACTACTAACTAATAGGTATCAACACCAAGATTGAACTTGATAGTTTAAAATAAATTGAGCATTGGGTAGAGTGTTAATAATAAATACATTTTTGTTATATCCCAATGAGTAGGAAAATAGTATTTGTGATGTTTCGTGAGTAAATGTAAGCCACTTCTTCAGAGTAAATAAATTGCCGATATTAAATGAACACATTATTTAAACTTGTGTTCATTTAATATCGGCAATTTATTTACTCTGAAGAAGTGGCTTACATTTACTCACGAAACGTCACAAATACTATTTTCCTACTCATTGGGATATAACAAAAATTTTGTTTATTATTACTAACCAATAGATTTATTATTTTGATAATTAACCATAGAACCATGTGATATGATAGTTAAGAATATTGACATCAAATTTTTCAGATAAACATAAGTGATGTGTACGTATGATACGATAGTTGAAAGTAAAACAAATGTATAGATCAATAAGTTCCAGTTTCAAAAATCACTGATCATGAGACTAGAACACAATGTGTGTTTTGGAACTGTTCATAAGAATTACCTAGATGAAAAATACCGACTGTTAGATAAACGGATCTTTTTTCTGAGATTTCTATGCACATAGAAAATGATTTGATGTATAAAAAGAATTGACTAGGGGTCTGGAAAACTTAAGGATTGAGATCACCTAATTAATTATAAACAGTGGTCAGAATCATAGTCACATTCATTCTGTTGTATTTTCAAAAAAAAAAAAAATAGATTCCTCTTCTTCTAGTCTTGCCTAGAAGTTGATTATTAAGTTAGATTACTGACTGATTCACCCGTTGTCTATAGAACCACTGACATTCCAACTAATCGCTTAATGACCATGAACGAAGGAACGAAACTTTATTACCTTCTGGTCCACAAGTTCTTACTAAGCCAGTGTCCAATTAGAGGGCATCAGCAAGCAAACATTTAAACTGTAATCTATTCAGGCCTGACTCAAAAACTTATATTAATATACATCAAATACCTTACTGGCTACATGGCAACACAAGTATTAAATTGTAATGCATAAATGATTAGACCATAAATGAAAGAAAACTGAGTAATAGCTCTATAATTAACTAACGATCACCTTGAGAACTTAAAATATGTAGGAATAGTTTATAAGTCAGACGAAAGCTAACAATGTGAGAAACATAAAAATATAATAAACCAATTACATAACAATAATAATCATGCAACAGAAATGCAAACAATGATTTCCTATAGAGTAGTCCTGAAATTCTAATCTTTCTCAAATCTCCACTGATATATCACATTCTTTAAATTTTATGCATATTTTGAAGGTTATCTCTTAATTTCATTTCCTCATCTCGAACTACACACTCGATATATTTAGTTGTTCAATATTACTGATATTATTATTGATATTGACACCTTTGATGTTCTTATTTTTAAATACAATTGGTCGTATTTGTATGAAATGAAACGTCCTAGGCCGATAAACAATTGCACTAATTCTTAATTTATTTATGATTGATTACAAAAACTGTGGTAAATTTCCCAAAACTGACTGACTTTGGAGAAATGAACTGTTCGTTTATGCATAAAGCTATAAGTGATCAGATTTTTTTTGATAGAATGAATTTTTCGCGATATGATACTAATTTAATTGATCATACATAATCCAATAATATTCAATAAGGGGTTTTGTGAAGATTGTAGTAATTTCAACAATTGAGATAATGAGTCAATTGAAGCTAGATCACCATGGAAAACCTAGAAGCACTGGATGGCCGTTTCTTTCTATTTTGGGGCTCCTCAGCGGCGCACATCCACTATCCCGCTCGCGGGATCCCAACCTAGGGCCTATCGGTCTCGCGCGCGAGCTCTTAATCACTAGACTACTGAGCTGGCATCCAACGGTGTAAATGTCTAACTTTAACTAATCCACGAGTTTGAACGACACATCCACCATTGTCATCAGTGAGTTACTATCTCACAACTGACCTGGTTGAACTCCACCGTTCACTGCTTCTCACTAGAACTCCAGGATATACACCTTGAAGCCAGTCACTAGTGAGCATATGTCGATTAGCATCAGAAGGGGTTTTGCGGAGATTGTTATAATTTCATGATCTCAACTATTGAAATATTCAATAATTTTGAAGAAAAAAACAGTAATTTTCTTTTACTGAATAAAAATGCACAAACACTAACCTTCACAATCACGAATACTAATAAGGATTGACTGAGCTGTAACACAACCTTGTACTTGCTTAAGATCTGATACTTTATACACATTTATATCACCACAAGCTATAGAACATAATTACAGAAAAAAAAGAAATACATTTTAAAAACTTTATGTAATTCGGTTACTGATTTCATGGAAATATAAAATATTGTAATTGAACAAATCATTTCTTGCTCTTCCATCATTCATTTCAAATTCAGTTAGAAATTATATTACTATTAGTATCATTACTAAATTTTGTGATTCGGTGTCGAGTGTCAGTTGGTCTACGACTGTGTCCAGTGTATAACCTTGGTGTTAATGTACGCACCGTTATATAAATATTTATGGATACATACAAACATGCATACCAATATACGTACAGAATATGACTGTTGAGTTGTTTAGCGAAACAAGTATAATGAAAGTACTTATACCAAGATGCTGAAATATCTACATAAGACTTCAAGATACAAACGCTTAACTCTCTAAAAAAAAGTCAGATCGATGACAAAAACCTGTTGATTCTTATTTTATTCATTACGAAAGAATGTTTCACCAATATAGGGAAGCATTTTCAAACAAAATAAAAAACTGCTTTCATTCTTACCTATTCATTCGATCTTTAATAATTCCAGACAACAATGTTGGTCAATAACAAACTGACTACTTCATATGAAATCAAAGTAGTTCGTATTTTTACTTAAAAGTTTTCTGACAGTTTCGTACTACTCGATGTAAGAAAGTGTACGATCAACATCCTTATATGAATATGAAGTATAATTATACTTACTTTATTATTCAACAAATGGTTAATTTGAAAAAGTCTTTGGAAGAATAAAAGCATAAAATCTGTTGCCTGGCAACTTTCGAAATAAGTAAATATTATTGAAGATTTTGAGATCGACCTGCTCAGTCAGTCAGTCAGCTACAACATAGGACCAGGCACATATATGCATCGGTCCAGGTTGCCATACCTCATTAACACAGCACGATGGACACCGGATTCATAGGACTGGTTAGGTCAAATGTGGTAGTATATAAAAGAAATATTGCAATAAGGATATAGTGCAGGAAGAAAGAATTAGTTCGTAGAAAGAAAGATATGAAGTGATTTTAATCTCTTAGTTTAAGGCAAGACAGGGAGTGTATACACCTACGCCATTGTGATAGATTCTGAGCCATGTCACCAAGAGTCTCCAACCATCGGTTACGAAAGTCACGCGGACCCCAACCAAGTAGTCTGCATCTACCAACATGGCTCAGACTAGAGGTTAGTGTCTTCAAGGACTGATGCCACGTTTTGGATTGGCCACCCCTAATTCTCTTCTAACCATCTTTAACACTCGATAGCATTGCACGTGGTAATCGGTGTTCAGGTATACGTAACACGTGGCCCAACCATCTCAGTCAATGAAGATTTATAACCTCATCAACTGATTTACCATCATTCCCTAATACCCTGCGTCTAACCTCACTATTACTTACCCGGTGATCCCAACAGACGCCAGCAATATTTCTAAGGCATCTGTGGTCAAATATTAGTAGCTTACGGGTGTCTTATACTCTTAAAGGTCGTATACTCGTCCCTTAGTTGATAGACGGATACCTCGTCTTCGCCATAGGCGACGTAAGTTGACAAAAGCCAAACAAGCTTTTCGAATCCGTGCTGAGATTTCGTCAGACACCAACCCATTAGGGCTGATCAGACTTCCAAGATAAGTGAAGTTGTCAACGCGTTCGACTACTTCACTCCCTATCCTTAGTTCAGGTGTTGACGCAGACCAGTCCTGAAGCAACAACTTGCATTTAGAGGGAGAGAAGCGCATTCCAAACATTCTGGCATTGTTGCTTAGTGCTACCAGAAGACTCTGCATTTTGTCAGCGTCTTCACCAAACAGGACTATGTCATCTGCGTATTCTAAGTCGATAAGTGGACCTCCTGGAAGGAGATCAATACCCGAGAATTCAGTCGACGAGAGTGTTATTTCCATCAATAGGTCTATGATGAAGTTAAACAAAAATGGAGAAAGTGGACAGCCTTGACGGACACCACTTGAGGTTGCAAAGGTAGATGACAGTTCGCCATAAGCCCTGACTCGACTAGTAGTGTTCGAGTAAAGAGCCTTCACAAGGTTTATGTACTTCTGAGGTACGCCTTTCAATGACAGACACTGCCACAGAATCTCGCGGTCTACAGAGTCAAATGCTGCTTTTAAGTCAAGAAAGACCACCATTGTCGGACGCCGATAAGTATGCCTGTGTTCTAGAACCTGACGAATGGTGAATATGTGGTCGATGCAGCCACGACCAGGTCTAAAGCCAGCTTGGTTCTCTCGTGTTTGCAGTTCACGAGTCTTAGTTAGGCGTTGATAATTATCGAGGCTAGTATTTTAGATATTATATTAGTTAAACTAATCCCTCTGTGGTTGTCACAGGATGATTTTGACCCTTTCTTATATATTGGGACGATAAGTGATTGCGACCAGTCAGATGGGATAACGTCTAACTCCCAGATCTTAGCTAAAATATTAGTCAACCTAATCGCTAAAATTGGACCACCATCCTTAAAGACCTCTGGAGCCAATCCATCTGGACCAGCTGCCCTTCCTCGTTTCAGATTAACTATAGCCTTCTCAACTTCAGCAAGAGTTGGGGGACCTACTTCAATGTTCCATTCACATTGTCTGGGAATGGAGGGTAGTTGTAGAGTAGCTGAAGGCCAGCTGAACTGTTCTCTAAAATGTTCCGCCCATCGTTCTAAACGTCTGGACTGGGAGCAGATGAGAGTATCATCTTTTTCCGAAATAATCTCACTTACACTTGACTTATTAATTCCAGTTTCTTTTATTAGTCTGTAAAGCTGTCTTGTGTTCCCTATAGTCGCCGCCTTTTCCATCTCTTTTGCTTTCGTTGCCCACCACTGCTCACGGTCGTTCCTTAGACTTTTTCTTAACCTAGATCTGATTTGTTGTCGCTCTTCATCATGTTCGGAACCTGATGGGACGAGTTTGCGAGAATCCATCAGTGTGATAGACCTTGAAGAAATCCACTGGTTCTTTGTAACTCTGTGGTTTAAGTCACTAATAGATGTCACTGCTGTTTCCACAGCTGTTGTATGCTTTCCAAGCAACATCTGGGTCAGCCTCGTCTTCACAACTACCTAAGTGTGACCTCAGTTGTTCCTGGAACCTACTTTTGGTTTTCTCGTTACTCAACTCAGTTCTAATGGGTCTTTTTAATGTGGCTTTTTTGCGTCCAGTGAGGCGCAAGCAGATGCGTGCCCGTATTAGGGCATGGTCGGAGTCCAAGCAGGTACTCCAGAATGAGCGACAATCTTCTACCGACCCTCTCCAACGATGACTGATGGCAATATGGTCTATTTGAGTCCATCGTTGGTTTGGTGTAGGGGGTCGCCATGTTAGACGATGTCTCTCCTTATGCTTAAAATTTGTGTTTGCTAAAAATAAACGATTGTCTGAGCATAGTTGCAGCAGACGATCACCATTATCTGTTCGCTGTGTCGGAATACTAAAATATCCACCTAAATGCCTTTCTGTTTGGTTTAAACTACCTATCTGAGCATTAAAATCACCTGCTACGAGTACTATGTCTGAGCGTTTAGCTTTCTGAAGAAGTTCGGAAGCTTTCTGTAAAATTCATCTTTCACTTCATCTGAGCTGCAGTCAGTGGGAGCGTAGGCAGAAACGACAAAAAGGCAACGACGTGTGTCCCTATCCTTCCGAGTTCTTACGTAGCCGTTCAGCCGAACAGCACATAGACGACTGTTGACGGGGATCCACTCTAGCAGTGCTTGTTCGCCCTCATGCTTAGTGCTATGCCTACACCTGCCAGTCCACGAGAACTGCCATCGGGTCACCGGATACACGAAGGGTGTATCTCGTTGGCTCTCCGTTTGCCGAGGTGAGGTCAAGTGAATGACCACACTGGAATCCTGTATGCGTGTTTCGGAGACACAGCATACATCAATGGAAAGAGACTCTAGGGTTTTAGCCAAGGAAGCCTGCTGACCGATTTGACATAGGGTGCGTACGTTGAAGGCTCCAATGTGTAGTTTGGAGCGAGGTTTCAGTAGACCTGGGACAGTGTTTTGAGCACTAGAATCGTTGGCTATGGTGACACTTGAGGAGGAAGCCGAAAAGGAAGTTTAGAGTTGAAAGTCGATGTAGGAGGAATAATAGGAATTGAAGAGGAGGTTGATTATGAATACAGTGGTCTTGAGTGCTGTTAGAGGTATGAGGGCGGTTATCACTTCCCGGTTGCCCACACCGTGGAAGGGTTCTCTGGAGGTACCTGAAAAGGAAATTGGATTAGAGGTGGTCTTAGTGACCTGAGAGCGTGACCGCAGTGCCCAAGGGACAACTGCTTGAGGTCGGTCACACACGACCTTTTTGTGGGTAATTTTTGTGTTAGCTCCGTACTTATTGAGACCTTACCGCCGGAGACGGATATCCGTGGGATAAGGCGAGGTGTGCATTTTTAGGGTCGACCTTTTCTAACCCCACCCCTCCTTGTGGGAAGGCAGCATCGCTGTCATGCTGGTTGTCTGAAGGAAACACCTTACTGCTGTCACACCTCTGTACAGTCAGCAGTACGACTTCGCCTTCGGACCTTGGGTTTGTTGCTTTTAGTCTTACCGCTCTTCAACCGACCTGTCTGACATGGTAGGACCTTGAGGAACGGTTGTTCCAGCCAGTATAGCTCGGTTGCTTCATCACGATAGGCAAGCCCGACCACCACGTCAAGGTAGAAAGAACGGTCGGGGATCGACCTGCTGATTATCATACGTTGATGTTAAATATTTTAAAAAAGGTTAGACGGATTTTACTTCTATTTACAAATTGTTAAAAATAACGTGTAGTAAAATATAGTATAAAAATCACCGTCAATTTGAACAATATTTATTCAGAAAAGAACAAGCAGATTAAATATTGATTTTGTTTAGACTATCAACAACGAAATAGTCAGGATATCAGGAAAGAATCTTTGAATTTTGAAGTTGATCGTCCATATATTTCTTAATTAAATACACTCATATATGAGAAATACGCAAAAAATGAGTCAAGAGGTGGTCATAAGATTGGAATCAATGATGTGGCAACTAAAAAAGATACAGATATGTGATAGATCGTATGACGTTTACATTACGCTAATTTCTCAACGGAATAAAAAAGAAATAAACAAGGGGGAAACATAGTAAGACTGATAGGTCCTGGGTTTGAATCTCGAGGGGGGCGGGATCGTGGATGCTTCAAATGACTCATAATCTCAACTACTGAAATTTCTAAAATCTCCACAAAACCCCTTCTCAGTCAGTCAGTCAGCTACAACATAGGACCAGGCACATATATGCATCGGTCCAGGTTGCCATACCTCATTAACACAGCACGATGGACACCGGATTCATAGGACTGGTTAGGTCAAATGTGGTAGTATATAAAAGAAATATTGCAATAAGGATATAGTGCAGGAAGAAAGAATTAGTTCGTAGAAAGAAAGATATGAAGTGATTTTAATCTCTTAGTTTAAGGGAAGACAGAGAGTGTATACACCGACGCCCTTGTGATCGATTCTCAGCCATGTCACCAGGAGTAAACCCCTTCTGATAATAAATAAGTGGGCAAGAAACACAAAAGTACTATATAATGATTAAAATATTAAAGATTTAGAGAGAGAATGTTAAAGGTTCGAAGGAAATCAACAAGAACCTTGGACGTTGAGTTCGCGCTAGTTAACACTCATCATAAAGGTGTACCTGTAATTTTGAAGAAACTGGTATTTTTCATTAGTTGAATGTAAAAAAATCTGTATCCGTATCATTGTAAACCACTTTAAACCATATTCAAATTAAATTACATATATTTTTACGGTATGAAGTAGGATTGTTTTCTGAAACGAAAATTATAACGGTTAATATGAATGAACTTGCCTCGTTTAATACATTTTGACTCAGGACAAAATTGACATTCACCAGATGCTAGACGCACATATTCCAAGGGACAAGTCGGTATACATGTAGAATTAAAAGTCGAATAGTTCGCCAAATATTTACCATTTACACCTTCTACTATTTCTTGACGATTAATACATTCCTCTCGCGTTATACAGTAGAGATTATTTAACTAAAAAATGCATAAAATATGGAAAATATGGTTCAAAAGAACATATGGATCTGAATAATTAAGTTAGAAATGATATTCAGCTCATTTAAAGAAAGATAAGGAATAAAAAGCAACTATGCCACAACAACTCATTTAATCTCACGTCATCTGACTTTTATAATCGAAAAGTACAGCTATCACGTGGGGACCAGTCAAGAAATCTACATTTCTTGATGTGGTGTAGAACAACGGTCAACTTCATAGATTAGTACATTTTCGGTCTGCCACCTCCAGCTTTTTTAATACTGATTCCTATGTTAGTACTTCAAGGTAGCCAGTAGTTAGGGACGAGTAACGTGTTTAATCGCCTCAGTTATCATCAGATAAGATTAAAAGGGATTACGAGTCTCTGAGACACGACAATAACAGAATACTTTGGGTTAGTTTCTTTGCAAATACTGAAACTAAAACATTTAGCGAATTCGGAAAAATTTCAAAGTGGAGAGTGATGAAGAAGTAGGTGACAGTCACTTAGATCTACATTGTTAAATTTCAGCTTCATGTTGAAATTCTAACAATTTCCTTTATTTCGTTTGTTTGGGGGTAAATTTGAAAGTGAACGGAAAAGCTGAATCGAAGTTAGAATAACTGAAATGTTCAATAGCATTCCATGAAACCGTGAATTCAATGACAACACCAAATTGATATGACCAGTGAATATATACAAACTTGTAAAAATCAGAAAATGTTGGTTAGTTTGTCATAAAAACACACCTGTCTATCTGAAGTCCGTTTCATTCTTACAAACGTACATATTCTAACACAGTTCTACTAACTACAGCAAACATAAATAATAAGACAATGAGTCTGTCAATTGGTGTTTAGAACACTCAGCGTTCGATTAATTTCATATGTCCGAATTCGGTCCAGCTATTTCAGTTTGGGCACCCGAAGAAAATTACTAGCCTCTTCATATAATTAGTGAGACTAAAAGCCATGTACATACACTAGCACTCGGTAAATGAGTCACATTTACATATTAGTTTTATGATGAAACTATTGCGTAATAATAATAATAATAATAATAAATGCGTACTTACTAAATAATATGATGAAGGGCAATGATTTAAACAAAGTTCATTTAATTTAACATGTTTACAACTTAAACATTGATTGGGTGATGGACCGGAACAACCTCCAGAACATTCTGAATCACAACACTTTTGTGGATTATCTACATGACATGCTAATCCATTATCTGTACAAACAGGGTCGCACTCTAAATAATAAAAGTTTTAAAATTGAAAGTTATGATAAAAAATAAAGCCGGATTAGAAAGTAAACTATGAATATACATTTCTGAGAAACACAATATCAATAAATTTCCATGTTAAAGTAAAATAAACCATTAGTATTAAAATGTTTATCAGTTTTAAATAAAGAAGTGGAAAAACTAATTTCAGATAAAACTACTAATTGCTGAAACAAACAATGTCAACTCCTCTAACTTAGATTTCAGTAGTAATAACTATAAAACCTTATAAAATAGAGTTTTGACTTTTATGAAATGATACTTTCTGCAGTCTACTGAAACTTTTCTGATGAGGTCTTGGGATTTACGATCTTGGTTTTGAGGTGAGTGCTACATTTACAACAAATTCCAATAGGTTATTCATAAAACCTGTTCACAACGGTTCATCATCTTATTATATATATATATATATATATATATATATATATATATATATATATATATATATATATATATATATATATAATGGCTTTTAAAAGGAATTAAAAATAAATCGCTCCCCGTTCAAAAATTCAGAACAGTTCATAAAACAGTTCTAAAATAAATAATTCCCATTATTTAAACCTTACTCTAAGGTCCGAATATATCGGTTTGAGGTGAAGCTAACAGAAAATATTAGTATAAAGATGGAGGGAGTGATATTTTATGTATGTTAGAGAAATGAAGATCTCAAAAGCCAGGAGTTTTTGTACTAATAAATGTAGCCACTCGATAAAGTACTGTTATTTTCTTAAATGATCAAGATGAGTAATATCGTCGTTTTTATCTCGTTGTTAATGTATGCGAAAAATGAATCTTTCACTGACGTATATAAACGGGAAGAGACCAACGGCTGTGAATTTTTTATACTACTCTGAATTCCCTCCCAAAAATCTACGTTTCCCAAATAGTTGTACAACTACAATTTACTAAATGATTAGATACAAGAAGTATTTAGCTTTTATTAAAGCTTAATCTGTGTGTACATGCTTAGAAATGCGTATGTGCTTAGTAAAAACGTTAAATAGTAATGAACAACCATATACTTAATTTGTTAATGCTTAATTGATGAGTTTTAATGAAATGCACGGTATTAACCACCTTTCAGACGGAAATTTTTAAAACATTATGACGACTGACATACAGATATCATTAATTAATTGATGTTTAGTCAGACCGTTCCTGTGATCTATGATTTTATTACATCAAGTATGATAAGACCCTTCTCAACAAGAAATAACTAGAGGGTATTTGAAGACATTCCCAATTGTTCTGTTAAAAAACTTTACAATTATGATAATCGATCAGTGTTCTTTAGTCTAGAAGTGATAAAACGGAACGTTTAGGATCGGCATTAGTACCAATAACCAATATTTTTGAGATCGATAATAAACTAAGCTTCTTTTTTAAAATTTATGAAGTTGGAAATACTGAAACTTATATGGAATACATACTAAGCATAGATTACAATATGTTACTGAGTGTTAATTCTTGTCCATATAAAGTAATACATTTTAGAGCTATTTAGTCCAACTCACTTGCTTGACATGAATTTGTAGACCAGCACGAGGAGCGAGAAGAATCATTTCGATAAAAAGATAGACAACTTGCTGAGCATTGATCGGGACAAAATTCACCTAAATTGAACCGCACTATTTGTTCTCTAGCGGAACGATATGACTTAGTAGATACAGAATTTAAATTGGTTGTTAAAGCATTCCAGTTAACAGTATCAACAAAACACATCATAGGGTTATCAATGAGTGCAACACCATTAGAATTCAATGTTTTCAGTTTCCATAGACCTATACGTTTCAACTTTGTATGCCTTATAATCAAACTGTAGCTGGAGATTTGGTTATGTTCGTTAAGATCAGCCGATGAAATTATTTGATTTCGTATAATAGAAAGATTCGGCAAAAATTTCGACAAATCTCCAGAACAGTTACCGTTTTCGATTATCAAAGAACCAGTTATTTCGACTACATTCGATAAATTACAATGGCTGTTGAGACAGCAGGAATCATCAAGATTTCGTATAGTTAATGTTCCTTGAATGCTCGTACAATTGATTAACGAGGATAGAGTGTTCGATCTCCTTAAATCCACTAAACGTCCGGAGCAATCTAGAAATAAAATAAAAATTCTATAAGTGTACTAAATATAGGCAGTAAAATTTACCCACTTCATCATCATAGGCAACTGAATATATCAGACTTACGTATTTAATCTAAAGTTGATCTTCCTACGCAGTTCTAGTTTAAATATGTACAGGCGATAATTAGTTAGTTGATGGACTAAGAAGCAATTACTTTAAACGGAACTTGGCAAAGAACAAGTGAAATTTAAGTGGCTATTAGTAAAATTTAGCAAACGACCTGGTAAGAAACTGGAGACGGTAGTTCACAAAATACTTGTTTAAGTATAAAAACAGCTTATATCTTTCAAAAATCGTATGTTTAGTTATCCTATGGTATTCAAATGTAATAATGCCCTGTTATCAACTTCACATAGAACGCTGTCTACTATTTTAAATCCATAACACCTAAGGAAAGAATAATACACAGGGGGTTCTCATGAAGGAGGATAAAATTATCTCCCGCAGAGTATCTTTCCCTTCACGTGAAGTACATGATCTTAGGAAGTGAAATAAATAACTCGGTAATCTAGTTAAAGCAGCTAATCTATCGATTCTGTAAATCGTATGCATACACTAAATTATTGATTGTTTTAACTACTGATAGTTCAAAATTCAAATTTATCCAACGACCGGACATTTAAAATGACATGACTTTAGATATTTTGACCAGTTGAGATTTAGTATTTATTACGTAAATAGATCTTCATCTAACAGTCTTGCCTTCAGTGCATTGAACAATCCCAGTTTCATTCTGTTGAACAAGTAACAATTTATTTCTAAGTCACTTCAACTTGCAAATATTCAAGACTACACTGCCTCGGAAAATATTCACATAAAAGCTTTCTTACATTCCATAAATGGATGCAGAATAACTAGGAAAATCTATTTTTGTAAAATGATTGAATGAAGAAACCAGATAGTTATCATCTCATAAATCTAACCAGCGTAGTTGTCAAGATCCTGGAATAGATTTTACTCAGATTGTTCTTATCTAGATGAAAACCTGATTCTCTCCGAAAAGCAGGAGTTTTAGAACAGGATATTTATGCCTCACGAACTTATTAGTAGAACAAGAAAGTTGGTATACTCTTGAAGACCAAAACTCACTTGTGGATGGGGGCCTTCATCGATTTCAGTAAGATTTTTGACAAAGTCCCACCTAAGCTAAACTATGTCGCGATTTTCGGCAAACTGCTTATAAGGATAGTCGAATTTGACGACAACAAGGAGTAGAAAACTGTGTTTATTGGAGTTCCCCAGGGTACAATCTTCAGAGCAGTGTTATTCTTTCTGTATGTAAATGATCTTTCAATTCATATTATTACCAGTCTTGTAAGAAGCTGACAATAACAAGATACGGAGCGCGATAAGAGTTGAAGGAGAGAGTTTAAGGTTTCAGAACGGCCTACAGAAATTAAAGTGATGTAGGATTTAGCAGTTGTCTACAAGCGCTTACTGATCATTTATTATGTATATTGGTCAATAAGATACAGATACATACACGGCGACTGGTATTTAGATAATTGCCGCCTGGAAAAACAATGACCTAAGAGTTATTATTATCGGTCAGAAATTGGAAACCCCTACACAGTAGTGAGAAAAAGATGCCAACAGTTTTGGAAACATCTATTCAATACGCAGAGACCTCAGCCCCGTTAATGTTGTGACGGCTTTAATTTTGTATCTGGCGTTTGTTCGCCATAAACCTGGGTATTACATACAAGCAACCAGTAGTGTTGGAAATGCTTTACAAAACCACAACGAAGTCGATTCCTGGGACTGCTAAGTTGCCGTACGACGTATAATAGGCTGCAATAAGCCCATCCCCCTTGCCACAGGAGTAGAAATGGCTTTGCAAGTTGGTAAATTACTTAATAATAACTTTGCATCTGACATGCCTTTGTTTTTCTTGTCTTCAAAGACAGAGAATACACGAAAAAAATTCCAAAAGAGTTCACGAACCCGGAACTGAACACCTAATTTATCATCGAGTCTTCAAGAGCTAAAGTATCTTACTTCGACGCGTAGCTGGCGCTCCATCTATCAACATAGTCAGAAGCTGGATCACCCAAGAAACACTTATTGCCAGGGTTATCACAAGCAACCCGGCTTTCTGTCGTTCATATACTGAAACTGACAATAAATAAGTATTTCCCAAACCGATGTAGAACTTAGTAATCGTCTAATTTTTGTTTTGTAGCAGAATGCTTTCAGTTCGTAACATAAAAATTCTAGATACGAAAGAGGACTGAGGAAATTTGTCGAGTCCTTGGTTGTGTGGACAGTAAAGGTTTCGGAATAAACTCGGATGTTCATCCAGAATTTTGTTGCACAGAGGAGCCCCGATTATTTTTTTATGACGAGATGATCTTGTGTATTTTATTACCCTCATTTATGGCTACTCCATATTTTGAAAAAGAAGTCACTAAAATCCGTCTCGAAGCTATAGCTTCGAGAATCTAAGAATCTAAAGGAAAAGAGCTCACTAATTTTCATATAAAAAGACAACTATTTGCGACGATTTTTGGTGCTTGAAATCCTCGAAGTGATCGCCTCCCCTTAACAAGGAGGTTGTGAAATTATGCTGACCAAAACATCCAGATGTGCGTTGCACAAGTGTTTCCCCTAATTCATAATACCTCAGTTGCAAAAACACATCCACAAGAGTTTATGACAAAAGGAAAACACTTATTGTTTAAAGTATAATCTATAGGTGACTTACATTCACATAATGAAACATGTACTGAGCATGAAAGCCACACGACAAGCCAACACCATTTACGCAACATTAATCATGCAGCGATGGTTGTACTTCAACATATGAACTGACTGCAAATAAGCAATTTTCAGCTGGCGAAAACTTTTTTATACACAGAAACCCCGACCAAGATATATTAATGAAAATGAGGTCATACGCGTGACCCTGAAAACGACCTTAATTTTGAACGTTCCTATGTACCCGATATATTCGTGTTTGTCTTGTGTAAACCAAATGAATACTTTACGCGAAATTTATGTCATTTCATTAAGGTCTTATATAGCAAATAACTCGAAATAGGTGTAAGTCTAGTCAATCAACTTCAGTAGTTCTAGTTATTATTATAGTTATTTCTAGGTTTATATATCATGTAATCAGTGAAAGTGCTCGTCTCCAGGTAAATAGATTTCTGAAAACAGAAGCTATCATGTTACAGTCGTAAGTTTGGTTAGTTGTAGTATTAGAATCAGCCGAAAAAAACGAACACAGAGCTGAGGGTGATAGAGAAAAGAGTTTCAGGAACATCATGTTTTTCCAGATGAGATTGTGTTTACGTTTTATAAATTTTCACGAACAGTTCTGATGTGATGACGTCAAGTCACTAAAGATAGTTTAAATATTCGCAGTTTGACAACATCATAAGCAGTAACATTTTTATGATCGAGGAACGACGAATCCAGATCGGTCAGTGGTTGCTGGCGTACCCACTTGTGATCTGGTGTGGATGTGTGAGCGAGGGCCTTCAGCTAGAAGAGTTCAGTAAAACTAATGCGGTGAGCAATTAATGTGGAACACTAACAGAGCTATTGATTTTGGGGGTCCGTTTACCGCCAGCCTCTATGCACTCCGTGTAACTTCATAGGAACCTACGATTTCTCAGGGAGTATCGAAGCGGGTCAGCTAAATCCATCTTCAAAACTTTCTTTATAAAGAATGAATGATGCAGAAATTCTCAAAATCGTGTAATATTACAGGGCCAGTATCTTTCGTTTTCTGCAGGCTATGAAGCTTTTCCTTGCTGGGAAACTTAGAGCTCGGGACTAACCCTCTATTAGGCTTCATTAAGAACTTTGCTTTTCTCCATGAATTCCTCCGGCGATTTAATGTGCAGCTCTTCCATCGCCTTCAATAGTTCTGAGACGTTTTTAAATGTCTGGATCTTTGCTGTCTCCGCCTTAGAACATTGGGGAGCGAATAGCCTGTTTTAGTTATTATTATTATTATTATTATTGAGAGCTTAAATAGGTCATGCACCACTGTATAGATAGCTTCCGCGTATTTCTTCTGAATTATAGGACTGATGCCATCAAATTCAAGTGAGCTTCCTGACTATAGCTTTATTCGATATTAGTATGGCAGTTAAATGAATTTTTTCCACATCATTCTTTTAACTAAAGTGAGAAAGTTCGTCGTGTTTTAAGGCCTCTGATTTTATGGTGCAGCAAATTGAAATTGAAACTTTTCAAGGACACATGATCTCCACTGTGTGGCTCTTTGAGATTTCAGGCATCTTGCTTTGTAGGTTTCCATTTGCTCACTAACCAACAGAAGTTTAAGATTGAATTGTATTTTAGCTTTGCACTTGACTCCGAAATATCTTTGTAAGATTTGTGTTCAGGTTGGTATTAGGTCACTTATCCATGATTCTACAGTAGCAGATTAGCCATGATGTGTCTATCTAATCTATAAGATCTTATTTCACAGTCACATTATTGACTGTAGTGACTCGTCTTATCATTAGTTAGTAATAATGTTTATGAAGATTTTAAGGGGATAAATTCAAGCCGACAACATAATAATGTATTTATAGATATACGAAGTGATAAGACTTGCAGGCCTGGGTTAAGAAGTTTCCTTTTGATATTCCTGCATTGACTCTTCTTGGGATTCTCCAAGTGTTCAACATAGAACGTAATGTTAGAAATCTTAACTGAAATGTTTAAGTCAGTTATTTCTTTGTTCCCAGTTATTAAAGTTTTCGCTAAAATTTAAAACTTTATTATGAGCGCAGCGACTTGATACTTGTTTGCTTTATAGTTTAGATGACCAAAAGTAATAAACTGTGGGTGGCATCATGCCACCCAAAACATATTTATTGATAAATAGTCCTAAGCTTTCATAGGGTTGTGAAAATGATTCTTGCCATAATGACAATACGTCTATTGAAATATAATACCCACGTTAGTAAAACTTTGGTAGCACAAATATTTTATTAATCTCCCTTGCTGAATGCCACTACCACAATTCTATACTATTTCTAGAAAGTTCACAGCGTCCCAATCGGCTAATCCAATTTAATTGATAGGCAGGCAGTTCTTGAAAGGTTATCGTCATTCGCAGTTAGCACACACATTACTCCTGATATCTCGTGGATCGACTTGATAAATGTATCATTTTATATCAATCTGACAATTTCTAAAAGTTGTTTCTTTTTACTGTTTTTATTATAGCTTGTAGAGTTCCTTGACCTATTTTTGACAAAACCCATGTCAAGAAACACATAAATCTACATCACGGTCAAATTTTGGTTTTAATGTTTTCGCGTCACTAAAACCAAAGAAGCGACAGGTTATGTCGCTTTGATTTTGACGGAAAAATTTAGAAATCAATTTTACGAACTATCATGGCGACAATGACCTACATACTACGTAACATGATGATCATCTACTGAAACTCACAGATTCCTCTTTATTCGCTTAACACCATGCTGAGTAAACTGATGTTGTATTATACTATTTGCTAGGCTTGAAGCTACCATTTAATCACTTAATCTGCGAACGAAAACAAAGACTCAGTGACCAAAGACTAGTAAGCTAGCTACTTGATGCGTCCTAGCCCCTCTTCCTAGAGGGAGAAGTCCAAGCTTGGAATGGGAAATTATATTCTGCAAACAGCCAGAAACGAGCGATCACACAAACGCAATTCAAAACTTATACATATCAATTATATGTATATAATCAATACTGACAGTCCAAAGTAATAGTTTTTAAAATTGAATGATCACGAGTTGCTGATGTCAATAAATATTGTAGAACATGTGCACAGTTGGAGTGGTGCTTTGTGATCTATGAAGATGAGAGATTTCCTTTATCAGATAATCAACTGTGGTGTTCTATAAAAATCCCATTTTATGTGGTTCTGTTTGTATATATTTGTTTGTGTTTGTAATATACATTCGTAGATATTCCCTTGTTCTTCGTTACAGGTAATATTTATTCTAATGTTGTCAAGATTTGAACATTTGTTTCATTTGATAAGAATACTTTTTCCTACCTTAAAATGAGAAATTGGTAGTTTAACTTGTTCATGTGTATATCTCGTTTCTCGCTTCAACTGTTGTTCAGATAAGATGAACTTGCATGATTGATTTAAGAACACCATTTGGTCCTGGGGTTTTGTATTTTGTGTTAATCACACTTAAGAATAAAAAGAGCGGTCATACGACTCCTTCGTATTTGAACGTTCTCCGTGTGCTTTGATTTAACTGATTACCCATGTGACGTAGAAATAATTTGTCTACGCTGCTGGGTGTGCTCTTTTATGGTGGAAACGTAGTCTATTTGTATTTTTTGAGGGCTAATTTCTTA